CAACGTGCCTGGTTGGCAGTTTTACCACCCCACCTCGCGCCGTGTCTTCCCCTCTCAGGACGTCACTTTTGACGAGTCGATACACTTTTACCGTCTGTTCCCCTACCGCACTGCTCCGCTCCCTCCCACGCATCTCTTCCTCACCCTAGGTGCCCATTCAGTAGACCCCCTCCCTCCCCAGGGTCCTACTCCCTTAGGTGTTTCCCAGGTAGACGCAGTCGAGCCTGTCGAGGTAGCTGTCGACTCTGGTCCTGCGAGTGGTACTGAGCCTGGGGGTTCTGAGCCTGGGGGTGCTGCGACTAGGGGTGCTGAGCCTGGGGGTGCTGAGACTGGGGGTGCTGAGACTGAGGGTGCTGAGATTGGGGGCGCTAAGACTGGGGGTGCTGAGACTGGGGGTGCTGAGCCTGGTGGCGCTCCCTCTTCACAGCAGCTGCATGAGTGGTACTCTCAGCGTTGCAGCCTCCAGCATGGGGCTACTGGAGCTGGGGGTTCTGCCGGAGTTGGGGCTGGTGGTGCTGCGGGTACTGTGTCGTGGCCGGAGCCTCCCTCCCCTCAGCGGCTACGTGAGTGGTACGCTCGGCGCTGCAACCTCCGGAGTGGAGCTCCTAGTTTTGAGGTGCCGCCTGCTGGAGGTCCTGGAGCTGCTGGAGGTGCTGCTGGTGCTGCTAGAGGTACTGGAGCTGCTGGAGGTGCTGCTGGTGCTGCTGGAGGTACTGGAGCTGCTGGAGGTGCTGCTGGTGCAGGTCCTGCTGGAGGTGCTGCTGGTGCTGCTGGAGGTACTGGAGCTGCTGGAGGTGCTGCTGGTGCTTCTGGAGGTACTGGAGCTGCAGGAGGTGCTGCTGGTGCTGGTCCTGCTGGAGGTGCTGCTGGTGCTGCTGGAGGTACTGGAGCTGCTAGAGCTCCTGGTGGTACTACTGGTACTGGGGCTGGTGGTGCTGCAGTGACTGGAGCTGGAGGTGCTGACGCTCGTCCTGGAGCCGACGATGCAGCTGGAGCTGGTGCTCCTGGAGGTACTGGAGTTGACACTACTGGAGCTGCTGGTGGTGCTGCAGGAGTTGGAGCTGCTGCTGGGGGTTCTGGAGCTGTCTCTACTGGTTCTGGGGGCACTTCACGGCCGCGGCCGTACTTCGTACCGCTCCTTCAGCAGGTTCTTGGTCAGCCGCCTCCTCCTTGTCCTACTCCCTCTTTTGCCTGTCCAGTCGCAGTCAGAGTTACCGCCTGCCTCGCCGCTTCCTGGTCCTTCTCCCTACACTGGTCCGACAGGAGGTCTTATGGAGTGTCCTGAGCCTTAGTCTCGTCCTGTGTCGCCTGAGTCTCGTTCTGCGTCACCTGTTCGTGCTGCTCGCACTGGTCGTCGTGTCCTACGTCAGCGTCCTCCTGCTGTCCCAGGCACTCACCAAATGACGCTTCGTCTTTCCACTGCTCCACAGCGTGTCCCTCTGCCTTCTCCTCCTGCGTCCTCTCTTCCTGCCCTTGCTGACTCGGAGTCTGACTCTCTTCGTGCTGCTAGTCCTACTGTCACGCATCTCCTGGCCACTGTTGTCACTGACCCTTCCTTTGATTCGGCTGCTGTGTCTGCCTTGGTTGCTGAGCTTGTCGACTTTGCTGCTCACTGTCGTCTAGACTACGCTGCGAGTCTTGTTGCTGAGTCTGAGTCTGTCTGTCCTCCGTCCGTCGGGGGTGAGTGTGCTCTTGGCACGGACGTCCTTGAGGACAAGCAGGAGGAGTTTGAGTGCCTTGCCGCCGCTGTACCTCATCTCGTGTCCATGCTGATTGCACCTGAGGGAGACCCGGATGCTCTAGACATCCCGACCCCGCGCTCTTACGCTTAGGCGATCGCGGGTGAGTACTCCTCTCAGTCGCAGACAGCCATGGATACAAAGATGGCATCCTGGAAGTCCACTGGCACTTACGTCCACGAGGTTCCCCCTCTTGGGGCGAACATCGTCAGTGGCATGTGGATTTTCAGGGTGAAGCGGCCGCCAGGTTCTCCACCTGTCTTCAAGGCTCGTTACGTTGCTCGAGGCTTTAGTCAGCGAGAGGGAGTAGACTTCTTCCAAACCTTCTCCCCCACCCCGAAGATGACCACTCTTCGGGTGCTACTACACGTTGCCGCTCAGCGTGACTACGAGCTTCACTCTCTTGACTTCAGCACAACTTTCTTACAGGGCAGCCTGCACGAGGAGATCTGGCTGCGCCGCCCTCCTGGCTTCACTGGGTAGTTTCCTCCTGGTACCCAGTGGAGCCTCCGGCGGCCAGTCTACGGTCTCCGCCAAGCGCCACGTGAGTGGCACGACACACTGAGGACTACACTTGCGGCTCTTGGGTTCGCGCCTTCTACTGCTGACCCGTCGCTGTTTCTGCGTACTGACACTTCGCTTCCACCGTTCTACATCCTCGTGTACGTCGACGACTTGGTCTTTGCCACTGCTGACACTGAGGCTCTCGCCCACGTAAAGTCGGAGCTGCAGAAGAGACACACGTGCACAGACCTGGGTGAACTGCGCAGCTACCTTGGCTTGCAGATCACCCGGGACAGAGCACGCCGCACCATCACACTGACTCAGTCACACATGGTGCAGCAGGTCCTTCAGCGCTTCAGCTTCACCTGGTCCTCGGCACAGGCCACTCCTCTAGCTATAGGTCACTCGCTCTCAGCTCCACCTTCGGACGAGTCCGTAGAGCCTAGTGGTCCTTACCAAGAGCTAGTTGGCTGCCTTATGTACCTGATGACTTGCACTCGTCCTGACCTCGCGTACCCTCTTGGCCTTATGGCTCGCTACGTGGCTCCTGGTCGGCACCGAAAGGTGCACATGGATGCTGCTAAGAGGGTACTACGCTACTTGTGCACTACATCAGGCATGGGGCTCGTGCTTGGAGGGAGGAGCTCAGTTGTTCTCACTGGGCACTCAGACGCTTCTTGGGTTGACGACCAGGCTACTCAGCGGTCGTCACAGGGTTACACCTTCAGCTTTGGCTCTGGTTCAGTTTCTTGGCGTTCTACTCGCTCGTCTTCAGTTCTCAGCTCCAGTTGTGAGGCTGAGATCTACGCCACAACCATGGCTGCACAGGAGTTACGCTGGCTCACCTACCTGCTGACCGACTTGGGAGAGCGGCCTCATTCTCCTCCAGTGCTGTACGTCGACAACAAGGCTGCCATTGCCTTGTGTGAGGAGCACAGACTAGAGCGCAGAACGAGGCACATCGCTCTGCGTTACTTCCTGGCTCGAGAGTTGCAGCAGCGTGGTCAGCTTCGTCTGCGTTACGTGGCCACTCGGGCCAACACTGTGTCAGAATGTTATCTTATGTTCTAGCCTGTAGTGGGGTGCTCTATAGCGAGTACAACCCTTCTAGGGTTTGCTATTTGTATCCCCATTTCTGCTAGTTCAATTCTCTTTCTTCCTTCTAATTTTGTCATGGTATCAGAGCAGGTCGATCCCCTTGGATCGATCCTGTGGGTGGGTTACCACCTCGCTTCCGCTGCTACTTTTCCTTCCCGCCGTGCGCCCCGAGGCGCGCGGCGGTTTTCTGCCCGCCGTGCGCCCCGAGGCGCGCGGCGGTTTTCTGCCCGCCGTGCGCCCCGAGGCGCGCGGCGGTTCTCTGCCCGCTGTGCGCCCCGAGGTGCGCGGCGGGCGTCTGCCCCGTCGTTCGTCGCGTCGCCTTCTGGAGGCGCCGCGACGGGCGACGGGGACCCGTCGCGGCCCCGCTGCGTGACCCGTCGCGGCCGCCCGCCGCCCTACCTTCGCGGCCCACCCGCCGCCCTACCTTCGCGGCCCACCCGCCGCCCTACCTGCGGCCCGCGAGCCGCCCTACCTGCGGCCACTCGCCGCCCTACCTGCGGCCCACCAGCCGCCCTACCTGCGGCCCTACCGCCGCACTACATGCGGCCCGTCGCCCTACCCGTCGCGGCCCCGGCCCCGTCCCCGCCTTCCCCCCCCCCTTTTCCCGTCGCCTGTCGAGGCGACCTGAGGGGCGAGCGGTGGGGTGTCGGGTATGGGGGTGGCCGGTGTGCCTTCTTCCCTTTGCTCCTCCTCCTCCTTCGTCTCCCACTGCTGCAGCTGTCGCTGAGGGGGGTGGTTGTGTGGGAGACTGGGGTTTAGGGTTTAAGGGGGGTGCGTGGGAGTGGAGCTAGCGGTGTAGCAGCGGGTGCGTGTCGGGGGGGTGGGACTGTTTGGGGAAGCTGCATGGAGGTTGCCGTACTGTTGTCCGCAGCACCTGTAGTCCGGGGCGCTGTCCCGGTAGCCCAGTGAGCTAGACTTCTACGCCAGCCGCCCGTGGGTCCGTTGCTCGTCTGCCGCTACTTTAGCCGCGGGGCCTGTTACTCCTGTAGTCCGGGCGCTTAGTCCGGTAGCCGCTGTGCCAGTCTGCCTCCTGTTGCCCGTGTGTCTGCAGCTTCAGCCGTCGCCTCCTATCTCCTCTCCCCTCACTCTCTCTCCTCCTCCTCACTTGCCCGTTGTGACTACCACTAGCTTTGCTCATAATTGTGAACTCTAAACTATTTCTTCTTGAACTTGTGCTCAGATTGTGTGGTGACATTGTGATCCACCTTGAGCTTGTACTGCTTTGCCTGCTCTGCTGATTACACCCCACTTTGGCTATGGGGGTGTGTCAGAATGTTATCTTATGTTCTAGCCTGTAGTGGGGTGCTCTATAGCGAGTACAACCCTTCTAGGGTTTGCTATTTGTATCCCCATTTCTGCTAGTTCAATTCTCTTTCTTCCTTCTAATTTTGTCACACTGCTGATATATTCACCAAGGCACTTCAGTCTGGTGATCATCAGCATTTTTGCACTATGCAAGGGCTTGTGCCCACTTTTCCTCACTTGTAGTAGACTAGTTAGAGCTACTATTTTGTATTGGAATATTATAAAAGCCTTGTAACCGCCATTATAATAGCCTTGGGCATTACACTCGGACCCAGCTTCTAGCTCCTCGAGGCTTCGATCAGCTTCAGGTTTTAGCTTCGCCTCTTGTTTCGCCTGTGCGATTAGCCTACCGCTATGGCATCTCGGATTCCCCCGTCTCTTGCTGGATCTGCGCGCCGCGCTAACATACTGAAGACGTGGCGGCACGCGATTGCAGTGCGCGTGGGACGCTTTAACAAGTTAGAGCAGTGCGTTATGCGCTCCCCTCGTGCGTCGCTCGGCTTCTCCCCTCTGCGACCCAAGCCCGTGGCTAAGCCGCCCAGCAAGAAGCCCAGGCCCAGGGATGTGATGGGTACCGCTGCTGCTGTGAAGCCCAGAGCGGTGCACAGCGGTCAAGCGACCGTCGCAGCTGCTGCAGCGAAAGCCACGCGAGCTAGTAAGGCGACACCAGCTAAGGCGACGCCAGCTGAGGCGACGCCAGGTGAGGCGACGCCAGCTGAGGCGACGCTTAAGGCGACGCCAGTTAAGGTGACTCCAGTGAAGGCGACGCCAACTAAGGCGACGCCAACTAAGGCGACGCCAGCTAATGCGACGCCAGCTAAGGCGACGCAAGCCAAGGCGACGCCAGCCAAGCTGTCCCTAGCTAAGGCGACGCCAGTCAAGGCGACGCCAACTTATGCGACGCCAGCTAAGGCGACGCCAGCATCACCAGCCAAGGCGACGCGTGCAAGCCATACTGCCGCGGTAGGTTTGAAGGCTGCAGGTGCAAGCAGCCTAGCAGCAACAGCTCCTCTCACCATGAAGGCGGGTCTTGCTGGCGGGTCTGGAATCCCCAGACCTGCAAGCAGTGCGTCAACAAGGAGGGTTGCAGCAGGAGCGACTGCGAGTGGCATTCCCAAGCCACGGAAGGTAGCAGCCAAGTGAATGATTGGAAAAAAAGGGAAAAAAATAAGAAAATATAAAAGAAAAGAAAAGAGAAACGAATAATAAAATAAATGGCAGCAGCATGAGATGGGATCCTGGGCATGTTAAATGGGGATGTGAAGGAATGACTGTGGTGGGTAAGATGGCATGGCTGGTGGGGGCGAGAGGGAGGTGCATGGAGGGACTTACCCCTTTTCCCACCCTTCTTGCAGGGTGTTGTGGGAGAGATGGGAGGAGAGGTGGAGGAATGTGGTGAGCTGGAATGGGGAGGCATGGCATGAGGGGGAATGAAATGCCCTTGGATCCGAATGCTTGTGCTGACTGTGTGCTTCAAGGGGAATGCTCATGCTCACTGTGCCATCTGTTGCTGCACCGTGCACCTGCTTGGCTCATGAATAGTAGAAAGGTCTAGATGATCACTATCTATGTTCTAGGTTTGTAGCTTGTAGTTGTTCATGTTTTACATATATATATGCTGTTGATGTGCATTTTGTGCTTGTGTGTTGGGAATGAGTGGTGCATTGAAGGTAGGAATGGTTGGAGGGTGTGTTCCTATGGATGGGTGAAGCAGGGAGGAGAGACTTGATGGTGCTGCCACTGGTTGTCTGATTCAAGGGGAATGGTCATGCTGACTTGGTCAGCAGTACTAGTTCTCTTGTCATGTTATCATGTCATGTTCTCATTCCAAGCGGCCTAAAGACATCTGGGTCATGACTTCACCCCATTTTGACCCTTTTCCTTCCCTCTGCATCCCCTCCTCTTTCCACGTGCTTAAAGTGCAGTCAACATGTTTCCTCTGCAGTAATTTCTGGCGTCATGGTTGGGGGTTCCAAGGATTCTACACATAGGTCCCCCATCCCTTCCCGGCATCTCTTGTCCCTCTGTATTGCCACCACCCATCCCATCTCATCCCATCCCATCCCATCCCATCCCATCTCAGGTATCTGAGATCTAAACGGTACTTATGCATTAGCCAGCTCAGGGCTTAGTCATGTTAATGCGCTGCTTGGTGGGTATTGCATTCCAGTTTGAATGCCTCCTGATGCGTTCACCATTTCTTGCCAGATTCATCCTCTCATGACATCATCCCTTTTGAGTTTCTCTTTGCAGTCTGATCAGCTCATGATGCGTTCATCATGTCAGTCCGATTTTATCAGATCATCATCATCCGTTCAATTTCTCATGCCATTCACATTAGTCAGCCCATGATTCTTTTCTCTCCACATTCCATATCACCACTTACTGGCATCCCTCCTCTCCTCCTCTTCTTTCGTTTCTCTGAAACGTGAACCGCACTGGAATGTTAAAGAACCCCAGGATTATCCCGTTTTTCGTATTCACATCAGCTAAGCTTCTTGTTGCTGCGTTTAATATTTGCTCTTTCGTAACAGCATATGTCGATGCTGCATCGCGTGCCAATTTCATCTACGTGTGAATCGTTCACCATTTTGTGCGAACTCATTAGCTCATGTCATGAAGCTTTGAGATTCTCATGCGAGTTTTTCAGCTCATCACTCTTTTACCCTCTCATTTTCATTGGCTCATCACTCTTTTACCCTCTCATGTCGCTTTTCATTGGCTCATCATCCGCTCCTCACTCACCTCATCAGCCTCATGGCATTCACATCAGCTCATGATGCTTTCAGTTGCTCATGATGATAATTTCAGCACAACATGCTGCTGTGAGGGAGTGGTACGTGGGAGGGAGGGACGGTCGATGGCATGCCTTTAGCCAGAGGAAGGGTGAAGAAGAGGGAAGTGGCTCAGCATGGGTGTGGGAGTGCTCATGCTCATTTGCTTATGCTCGTGAAACCCATCAAGTGTTGATAATCAATCTCATCCGCTGCTTCCTTCTCATTGACGCCTCCAGCTTGCTTACAAAATCATTTTTAGTCTGCGTTTCCCTGTCGATCGGTGGTCATGGTTCCAGTGCCTCTCTCTCTGCCCGTTTCAAGTTTCAACGCTCTTTCCGCTCTGTGCTCACACAACTCCCCTCCTTCCTGCCCGATCAAGGTCCGTTCCTTTCACTACCAATCAACCTTTACCACTCTTCACTCACCTCTTGATGCTTCAAAGTCCTCTCCTGAGCCCAAACTGCCCGGGTTTAAGAAAAATGCAGGAACTTGCCTGCTTATCCATATTTCTCCCGACTCCCATCCCTGTTTGCTTCCTCAGACCACCTTCCTAGTATCTGACCATTTGCCAGCAATGATGCTGTACGCAGTTTTGTTAGTCAATGTTGCCTTCCCAGACAATATTCATAGTGCCAGTGCCTCCCTCTCTGCCCTTTTCAATGTTAAATCCTTTCTTCCTCTTTAAATTATCTGAAAGTCAGCCAGCAGTGATGCTGTCAGCACCCCTGGTTGTTTGCACCATTTTCACAACAGCTGCAGTCTCTTATGAGGGAAACAAAATCCTTCAGTTCATATCGTGTATTTTACTGGTGTTTTATGCCAGAGTCAAAAGCTTTCGGTATGTCATGCCAGTTTTAGGAGATCATGGTCTTTACGGTTTTGTATGTCAGTCTCAGCAGCTTATGCTCTCAGGTTCTCATGTCATTTCTTAAAGGTATTATTGCTTTTTGCATCTCGTGCCCTATTCCACCACAAATGCTATTTTTCGGTGTATGATACTGATCTCGTCAGCTCACCATGCCTTTCGTAGCCCCTGATGCTTTTTTTGTAGCTCTTGTCAGTCCCATCATCATTGCGTCATCATTTTTTGTATCGCATGTAAGTTTCAGCAGCTCCTACCTGATGTGTTCAGCATCTCATGCCAAATTCATATGGTCGTCATGCTTTTCCATCTCTTGCCACTCTCAACGAGCCAGAAACCTATCAGTGTATTTTGTTCCAATTTGACAAGCACATGATGTTTGCAACAGCAGCTCGTGCCAGTATAATCAGCGCCTGATGGTTTCAATATGTATTCCAAGTTCAAGTGTTCATGATGCTTTCAGCATTTCATGGCCACTTTGCCAGCTGATGGTGGCACATTCACTGTCGCATCATCTTTCGGCATCCCATGGCAATCTCTGCAACTGATGATGCCATCAGTATTTCATTCCTGTTCCATCAGCTCATAATTGTCACCTGACATTTACAGTTGCATTTCATGAGTTCAACAACGCATGCCAAAGTCATCAGTTCATGATGCTTGCTCGTTTCATAATATTTGCCAACCAAGCTCACCTGCTCATGATCCTTCCGGCATCTCATGGCGAATTCTCCAGCAGATAATGCTATCAGCCCGTGATGCCAACTACGGTATATTGGCTCCTTACTTATGCTTTCAATCCTACAACAATCCCAGTTATTTATCACAATTGACAACAACCGGATCATCCTGAATGATATGAATTCTCTACAAATAGATGGTGTTCCCACAACGTTTGTAGAGCTACAATGAAAACAAGTTGATCAGAATACTAGTGTGAATCTAAACAGTTGCAAGGTTTCAAGTTCATATGAATCTTTCATTTGCTTCACGGTTAACATTTGCAAATATCGAATCACTAGCTTTACTCGTCATTCCTCCCAACACCCTCGATGCGCTGGTTTGGAATGCCAGACCGAACCCAAGTTCCTCGGGAGCAGTTTTCTAGAACCATGCGTACGAGGCGCGTTTCCTGACAGTGCGATGCCTCTAGTCACCTCGCGACACATTACAGGCTCCGTCTCAGTCGCGTTTGCCCCCCGCCGCTATGCGGCGACATTTCCACTTTATTACCGATGACGGAACAGAATCATTCGTTGAGCAGCCTTGGTTTTGTCTCGCGACGGCAAGTCCGTCAAGTTCACCCATCATCCAGTCAACACACCAGCAGACCCCTTCTTTTCGTGGACGAACCGCTTCATGTTGCTAGGACAGCGAGCGAGCTTAACGGAAAATGCGACCGGTATTTTTTGGGCAGCTACAGTTGATCCTGCTGCCCAGAAACTCCGTGAATGTAGATTAACGAGCCGCAATTTTGTCAAACGAAGTGCCAGGCTTCGTTATTCGGCTTGGGACCGAAGACTAGGCCTTCTCCTATTGGCTGACCAGATGCCGAGCTTCGAGGTTCGGTTTGGAGCAGCGGTCTCGGCCTCCTCCTACTGGCCAGCCAAACCCTCCGTGGTTGGGCCCCTAACACAGAGCAGAGCCAGAGCACTTTTCGGGGTTTTTTTTCTCTTCCTTCTCGGTTCGGGCAGCAGGTTTGCTTCCTCCGTAGCCTCGAGAGTTGCTTCTCTCCATAGTCGAGCTCCATCCTCTCTTCCCTCCGCCTTGGATTGGAACCTCCTCCCTTCCCAAACACTACAAAGCACACCCGTCCTCCTCATTACCGCCACCACAGCAGTTGCGATTTCCTTATTACTTCAACTCTCAGACTCAACTTCTAGCTCCTCAGAACTTCGATAAGCTTCAGCTCCTAGCTCTCTCGTCCCGCCTGTGTTCTTGACCGCTCTCTCCTAGTGCGATGGCATCTCTGACCAACCCGTCTCTTGTTGGATCCGCGAGCTGTTCTGCGCTGGGCGGCATCAGCAGCAGCTTCAGCCGCACGCGCCGCGGCGCTAACGTCTTGAAGATGTGGCGGCGCGCGATTGCATGGCGCGTGGGGCGCTTCAGCGAGAAAGAGCAGTGCGCTCTGCGCTCCCCCCGTGCGTCGCTCGGCTTCTCCCCTCTGCGACCCAAGCCCGTGGCTAAGCCGCCCAGCAAAAAGCCCAGGCCCAGGGATGTGATGGGTACCGCTGCTGCTGTGAAGCCCAGAGCGGTGCAGAGCGGTCAAGCGACCGTCGCAGCTGCAGCAGTCAAAGCCACGCCAGCCAAGGCGACGCCAGCTAAGGTGGCGCCAGCTAAGGTGACGCCGATTAAGGCGACACCTGCTAAGGCTACGCCAGCTAAGGCGACGCCGCCAGCTAAGGTGACGCCGATTAAGGCGACACCTGCTAAGGCTACGCCAGCTAAGGCGACGCAGGCTAAGGTGGTGCCATCCAAGGCGACGCCAGCCAAGGCAACGCCAGTTAAGGCGACGCCGCCAGCTAAGGTGACTCCAGCGAAACAAGCTAAGGCGACACGTGCAAGTCCTGCTGCCGCGGTAGGTGTGAAGGCTGCAGGTGCAAGCAGCCCAGCAGCAGCAGCAGCAGCTCCTCTCACCATGAAGGCGGGTCTTGTTGGTGGATCTGGAATCCCCAGACCTGCAACCAGTGCAGCAACAAGGAGGGTTGCTGCAGGAGTGACTGCGAGTGGCATTCCCAAGCCAGGGAAGGTAGCAGCCAAGTGAAAGGGTGAAAAAAAAGAAAAAAAAGAAAAAGAAAAAAGAGAAGAAAAACAGCAGCAGCAGCACTATTCCATCCAGGTCGTGTTGAATGGGGATGTGAAGGGGCGAGTGTGGTGGGTGAGATGGCATGGCTGGTGGGGGCGAGAGGGAGGTGCATGGAGGGACTTACCCCTTTTTCCACCCTGCTTGCAGGGTGTTGTGGGAGAGATGGGAGGAGAGGTGGAGGAATGTGGTGAGCTGGAATGGGGAGGCATGGCATGAGGTGGAATGGCATGCCCTTGGATCCGCTGCTGATGTGCCGGAATGCTCATGCTGACTGTGTTCTGTTGCATCTGTTGCTGCTCAGCTGCCTGGCTCTTGAATGCCCTTGGATCCGCTGCTGCACCGTGCACCTGCTTGGCTCTTGAATAGTGCAAAGCTTCATGTAGTCTTAAGCTGTGTTCTAGGCTAGGAATATGTAGTCATTAAGCTATATTTATAAAGGTGTTTGCTATGGATGTGAATTCTGTGCTTCTGTGTTGTGAGGGGGTGGAGCATGTGGGGAAGGAATGGCGATTGAGAGGATCTGGGTGCAGGAAGGGTGATTCAGGGAGAAGTGACTGAATGCTGCTGACTTGGTCTGGGCTGGGTGATTCGAGGGGAATGCTCATGCTGACGTCAGGTGTTGCTTTGCTTCTGTTTGCTGCTTCCTGAGTCCAGTCCAGTCCTCACTTTCGTGCTGTTTTCCCTTGTATTGCCGTGTTCAGAACCTCCTTTCTTCCTGGTTGCCCTTTCAATTCCAGTTCCGTTTCATCTCCCTTCTCACTCACACTCACTGCATCTCCTCCCCCCACTGCTCTCTTCATTTACCCCCCCTTTCCCCGCCAGCCCCCATCAACCTCCCAATCCCCCATCAACCTCCCAATCCCCCTGCCCCCCCCTTCACCCCTTGCTTCTTTGTATATCCACCCTCTTTCACCACAACCAACTCTCCGCACTGCCGGGAATTCCTGTCCCTCTTCTTTCTAAGAAGTGTTTCCCTGCGGTTTCTTCAGCACTTTTTCCCATCTGTTACTCTTTGAAAACAACATATATAGTATCAGTGTCTCCACTGTTTTCGCAACTCCCCTCCTTCCTGGCCTATCAACTTCCTTTCCCTTCACAATCATTCAACCTCCTATCCTTTCCTCACCGCTGCAGTGAGCTCTTTCAGAATCCCCTCTCGAGGCCCAGTCGTTCTGACTGAAGGCTTAACCTCGAGAGATTTGGACCTACACTGAGTAGTCCCCTGTGAGCGGCTTACGTGCACTACTCAGACAGAAAATCACTTTTCCCCCTTCCCCTTCCCTTATTGTTTGTATGTCCATATTCCTTCCTTGCTACTTCCAACCTTCAATCCCTCCTTCCTCTACTTTCAAGTATATGTGAATTGACCAGCTCTGATGCTGTCAGCACTCCCAGTTGTTTATTCCGTTTTCACAGCAACTGCAGCGTGTTATGAGGCAAACAGAATCTATCAGCGAATGATGTTTACAACTCCTCATGATGTCTTCAGCTCTTGCTAATTCATTCCATGCCAGATTCATTCCCTCATTCATGATGGGTTCAGTATCTAATGCCAGTTTCATCACCTCTTGATGTTTTCGGTATTTGTTGCCTATCCCAGCAGCATAGGCTCTCGTGTTCATTCTTGGTGAAGGTAAGTTCAGCGTCTCATGCCCAAATTCTATTTGCATGCTGTTTTCAGTATCCCATGCCGATCTCATAAGCTCATGATGCTCACAATAACTCATGCCAATCTCATTAGCACATGATGCTTTTAGCCTTAGTCAGTTTCATCATCGCATCAGGCTCTAAGTACCTCATGTAAAATATAGCAGCTCCTTTCATTGCCTCATGAAAATTTCATCAGCTCATCATGCGTTCATCAGCTCTTGTCAGGTTCATTCCAATCCGATGAGCTCATGGTGTTTGCAGCAGCTCATGGCAGTTTGATCAGCGCCTGATGTTTTCAGTGTCCATGTCAAGTTCTCCTGCTCATGATGCCCTCAACGTGTCATTATGTCATTCCCATTTCATCAGCTCATGATTATCTCCTGTAGTTTCAGTGACTTCTAATGTGTTCACTAGCCCATGCCAGAATCATAAGCTCATGAGGCTTGCGGCAGCTCATGCTGATTTGACGATTTCAGTATCCATGCCAAACAAGCTCATCATCTCATGATGCTTGCACCATCTCGTGGTGAATTGTTCAGCTCAGCTCATACTGCTTTCACTGTTGTCCTTACCCTCATCATGACTGCCATGCCATCACCTCCATAGGCAGAGCCCTTGATCACTGGCGCAGCTGGTGCTGCTGGTTTTGGATACCTGCGTTCTCTGCAGCTAATACGGTAGTCCTTGTCCTTCCTATTGATCAGGTGGTGGTGTGCGCTGGTCTGGAATATTAGATGGAGCCAACGTGAAAATCCTTCCTATTGATCAGGTGGTGGTGTGCGCTGATCAAGATGACATTTCAGTTTTTGCATATCGATGTACTCTAAAATTATTCAGGCTTGTTGGGCTGATTTATCCAGCATGCGCATTGGGAAATTTAATGAGGTATATGTGTTTTTGGTTATTTGAAGATGTAGCTATCATTACAGCTGAGCTGGATCAGAAAAACATTGGTTCTTAACTTTCACAATGATCCAAGGCAGAAAATCACATACGGTAAGTATACTGAATAATAAAGAACATCACAGTATACCTCTAGCGAATCTGCAAATCTCGCATCCAAGCCTTTCCCCTTCCCACCATTCTCGAGGCCGATTTGTCAAACGCAGCTCTAGGAAACAGATCAGGAGACCATTGATTCTTCCCAGACAGCGAAAATGGAGTGCTACCAGTGCGATGACTTCCGTCAAGTGGCGACGCGGGTACAGTATAGGCTCCGACTCAGTCGCGTTCGACCGCCGCTGTGGAGCGGCGTTTTCAGTCCGTTGGCGATGACGGAACGGATTGAAACCTTTTTCTAGCCGCCTAGAGCAGATCCAACGACGGCAAAAGTTCCTCACTTGACCCATCATCCAGTCAACCGCAAGCATAGCCCTTCGTCTTACGTAGACGAGCCGCTCCTCAATCCTCGGGAAGCAGCCGAGGTTAGCGGAAATGCGACAAAATTGTTATTTTCCTGGGCAGCGACATTGCATGAGCTCGCTGCCCAGAATTTCCGTGATCGAAGACGAATTTCGAAGTTCAGCTCGAGCGATGGGATGGAACAACTGATTCCTTGTCCCAAGCCTCCGTAGGTTCGGCTCCAAACCCAAAACAGACCCTCCCCGCAGCAATTTTCGGGATGTCTTCACTCGGTTCGGGCAGCAGGCTTGCTTCCTCCGGAGCCTCGAGAGTTGCTTTTCGCCAGTCGAGCTCCATCCACCCCTCCCTCCGCCTTGGAACCTCCTCCCTTCCCAAACACTACAAAGCACACCCGTCCTCCTCATTACCACCACCACAGCAGTTGCGATTTCCTTATTACTTCAACTCTCAGACTCACCTTCTAGCTCCTCGGAACTTTGATAAGCTTCAGCTCCTAGCTTCGGCTCTCTTCCGGCCCGTGTTCTTGACCGCTCTCTCCTAGTGGGATGGCATCTCTGACCACCCCGTCTCTTGTTGGATCCGCGAGCTGTCCTGCGCTGGGCGACATCAGCGGCAGCTTCAGAAGCACGCGCCGCGGCGCTAACGTCTTGAAGATGTGGCGGCGCGCAATTGCATGGCGCGTGGGGCGCTTCAGCGAGAAAGAGCAGTGCGCTCTGCGCTCCCCCCGTGCGTCGCTCGGCTTCTCCCCTCTGCGACCCAAGCCCGTGGCTAAGCCGCCCAGCAAGAAGCCCAGGCCCAGGGATGTGATGGGTACCGCTGCTGCTGTGAAGCCCAGAGCGGTGCAGAGCGGTCAAGCGACCGTCGCAGCTGCTGCAGCGAAAGCCACGCGAGCTAGTAAAGCGACGCCAGCTGAGGTGACGCCAGCTGAGGCGACGCTTAAGGCGACGCCAGTTAAGGTGACTCCAGTGAAGGCGACGTCAACTAAGGCGACGCCAACTAAGGCGACGCCAGCTAATGCGACGCCAGCTAAGGCGACGCAAGCCAAGGCGACGCCAGCCAAGCTGTCGCCAGCTAAGGCGTCGCCAGTCAAGGCGACGCCAACTTATGCGACGCCAGCTAAGGCGACGCCAGCTAAGGTGACGCCAGCATCACCAACTAAGAGGGCACCAGCCAAGGCGACACGTGCAAGCCCTACTGCCAAGGCTGCAGGTGCAAGCAGCCCAGCAGCAGCAGCAGCCGCAGCAGCAGCTCCTTTCACCATGAAGGTGGGTCTTGCTGGCGAGTCTGGAATCCCCAGACCTGCAAGCAGTGCGTCAACAAGGAGGGTTGCAGCAGGAGCCACGGCGAGTGGCATTCCCAAGCCAGGGAAGGTAGCAGCCAAGTGAATGATAACAAAAAAAAAGAAAAAGAAAAAAAAGCTGCAGCAGCACCAGATAAGATCCAGGGCGTGTTCAATGGGGATGTGAAGGTACGAGTGTGGTGGGCGAGATGGCATGGCTGGTGGGGGCTAGAGGGAGGTGCATGGAGGGACTTACCCCTTTTTCCACCCTGCTTGCAGGGTGTTGTGGGAGAGATGGGAGGAGAGGTGGAGGAATGTGGTGAGCTGGAATGGGGAGGCATGGCATGAGGGGGAATGGCATGCCCTTGGATCTGAATGCTTGTGCTGATTGTCTGCTGCAAGGGGAATGGACATGCTGACTGTGCCATCTGTTGCTGCACCGTGCACTTGCTTGGCTCATGAATAGTAGAATCTTTTAGACTATTATAATTAATGTCCTAGGTCTGTAGCTTGTAGGCTTGTAGTTGTTGATGCTTTACTTGTATGTGTGCTGTTGATGTGCATTCTGTGCTTGTGTGTTGAGACTGTTTGGTGCGTGGAAGGGAGGAATGGTTGGTGGGTGTGTTCTTATGGATGGTTGAAGCAGGGAGAAGATACTTGATAGTGCTGGCACTGGTTTTCTGATTCAAAGGGAATGCTTATGCTGAGTTGTCATGACATCATTCAGCCTAGAAACAGGTCAAGACTTCACCCCATTGTTACCCTTCCTCCCCTCTGCATCCCCTCTCTTTCCACGTGCTTAGAATTTGTTTTACATGTTTTCTCTGCAGTTCAGGCTGAGGTCATGTTGGGGTTCCAAGGATTCTACACAGTCACCTCTTCCCCCATCCCTTCCCGGCATCTCTTGCCCCTCCGTATCACCACCACTCATCCCATCCCATCCCATCCCATCCCATCCCATCCCATCCCATCCCATCCCATCCCATCCCATCCCTTCCCTCCTTTCAGGTATCTGAAATCTAAACGGTACTTGTGCATTTACAAGCTCAAGGCTTTGTTGTCACCATGCGCTGCTTGGTGGGTATTGCATTCCAGTTTAATTGCCTCCTGATGTGTTCACCAATTCTTGCCATATTCATCGGCTCATGTCATCCTGCCTTTGAGTTTCCCTTCGCAGTCTTATCAGCTCATGATGCGTTCACCATCTCATTCCAAAATCATCAACTCATCATCATTCGTTCATTTTCTCATGCCATTCACACATCAGCTCATAATTCTTTCCTCACCACAATTGCATATCATCGCCTACTCCCATCCTCCCCTCCCTCCTCATCTTTCATTTCTCGGAAACGTGAACAGCAGTGGAATGTTAAAGAAATCCAGGATTATTTCTTCTTTTTCACGCCAGCTAAACTTGTTGTTGGTCTGTGTGATGTTTGTTCTTTTGACGCAGCGTATGTTGATGCTGCATCGCATGCCAGTTTCAACAGCTTGTGATGCTTTCACCATTTCCTGCCAACTCATCAACTCAAGTCATGAATCTTTCAGCTCATCACTCTTTTACCCTCTCATGTCGCTTTCATTATCTCATCATTTGTTCCTTACCTCATGAGCCTCATGCCTTTCACATGATGCTTTCAGCTGTTCATGATGCTTTCAGTTGCCCATTATTCTTTCAGTTGCTCATGATGCTTTCAGTTGCTCATGATGCTTTCAGTTGCTCATGCTGCTTTCTGTTGCTCATGCTGCTTTCAGTTGCTCATGCTGCTTTCTGTTGCTCATGCTGCTCACATGATGCTTTCAGTTGCTCATGATGCTTTTAGTTGCCCATGATGCTTTTAGTTGCCCATGATGCTTTCAGTTGCTCATGATGCTTTCAGTGGCTCATGATTCTTTCAGTGGCTTGTGTAAATTTCGGCTCAGCATGATACTGTGAGGGAGTGGTGCGTGGGAAGGAACTGCACTGATTTGAGAAACATATAGAAAGTTTCCTGATTATCCATATTGCTCCCAACTCCCCCTCTCCCTTCCCCCACTGTGTATATGTTTCCATCGTCTTTCCTACTTCCATCTTGTACTCCCTCCTTCCTCTTACAATCATCTGAGTATCAACCAGCAGTGATGCTGTCAGCACCCCTGGTTGTTTACACCATTCCTCTAGCAGATATTGTAAACGGAATTCCTTTTTTTGCCACATTCTATAGCTCATTTTTTATGCTTTCAGTATTTCATGCCACAGTCAGGATCATGATCTTTTTCGTATTGTATGCCAGTCTCAGCAGCTTATGCTCTCAGTTTCTCAAGTCAACTCTTGAAGGTTGTTAGTGATTTTTGTTTCTCAGTTCCACCCCCAATGTCTGTTCCCAGTGTGTCATGCTACTCTTGTCAGCTCACCATGCATTTCATCAGCCCCTGATAGTTTTTGTAGTAGCTCACGTCAATCTCATCACCGCGTCATGCCTTACCTATCTCATGTAAGTTTCAGCAGCTCCTACCTGGTGTGTTCAGTATCTCATGCCAAATGCACATGCTCATCATGCTTTTCCATCTCTTGCCACTCTCAACGAGTCAGAAACCTATCCGCTCATTTTGTTCCAATTTGACAAGCACATGATGCTTGCAACAGCAGCTCATGCCAATTCAACCTGCCCACGATGCTTTCAACATGATGGCGCCTCGTTCAGCACCCTCTGGCAGACTCTGCAGCTGATGATGCCTTCAGTATTTCATTCCTGTTCCAGCAGCAATTCATGTTTGTATCCTGGCATATATAGTTGCTTTTCATGAGTCCAGCAACTCATGACAAAATCATCAGCTCATGATGCTTGCTGGTTTCAGGATATCTGCCAACCTTGCTCACCTGCTCATGATCGTTCCAGCATCTCGTTGCGAATTCGTCAGCTGATAAGATAATGCTCTCAGCCTGTGATGCCAACTGTATTGGCTTGTTATGCTTTCAATCCTACAGCAATCCCAGTTATTCATCACAATCTACAACCGGATCATCCTGAATGATTTCAATTCTCTATAATGAGGGATGGTGTTCCCACAAGGTTTGTAGAGGTACGAGAAAACAAGAAATTGATGAGAATAATAGTGAGAATCTAAAAAGTTGCAAGGTTCTAAGGTCATATGAATCATACTGTACATTTGCCTTACGGTTAACAAATATGCACATATTGAATCACTAGTTTCACTTGTCATTCCTTTCGACATTCACTGGTTTGGGATGCCAGACCGAATCCTAGTTCCTCGGGAGCAGTTTGCTAGAAGCATGCGTGCGAGGCGCGTTTCCTGACAGCGAGATGCCTTCAGTCGCCTTGCGATGCGACGCATTACAGGCTCCGTCTCAGTCGCGTTTGCCCCACGCCGCTATACGGCCACATTTCCACTCTATTACCGATGACGGAACAGAATCGTTCGTTGAGCAGACTTGGTTTTGTCTCACGACGGCAAGTCCGTCAAGTTCACCCATCATCCAGTCAACACACTAGTAGACCCCTTCTTTTCGTGGACGAACCGCTTCATGTTGCTTGGGCAGCGAGCGAGCTTAACGGAAAAGGCGACCCGTGTATTCTTGGGCAGCTACAGTTGAGCCTGCTGCCCAGAAACTCCGTGAATGTAGAGCCGCAATTCTGTCAACCGTCAGTGCCAGGCTTCTTATTTCGGCTTGGGACCGAAGATTCGGCCTTCTCCTATTGGCTGACCAGATGCCGAGCTTCGAGGTTCGGTTTGGAGCAGCGGTCTCGGCCTTCTCCTATTGGCAAGCCAAATCCTCCGTGGTTCGGCCCCTAATGCAGAGCAGAGCCAGAGCACTTTTGGGGGTTTTTTATTCTCTTCCTTCTCGGTTCGGGCAGCAGGTTTGCTTCCTCCACAGCCTCGAGAGTTGCTTCTCTCCATAGTCGAGCTCCATCCACTCTTCCCTCCGCCTTGAAACCTCCTCCCTTCCCAAACACTACAAAGCCCATCCGTCCTCCTCCTTACCACCACCACAGCAGTTGCGATTTCCTTATTCCTTCAACTCTCAGACTCAGCTTCTAGCTCCTCGGAACTTCGATAAGCTTCAGCTCGTAGCTTCGGCTCACGTTCCGCCTGTGTTCTTGGCTGCTCTCTCGTAGTGCTATGGCATCTCTGACCACCCCGTCTCTTGTTGGATCCGCGAGCTGTTCTGCGCTGGGCGGCATCAGCAGCAGCTTCAGCCGCACGCGCCGCGGCGCTAACGTCTTGAAGATGTGGCGGCGAGCGATTGCATGGCGCGTGGGGCGCTTCAGCGAGAAAGAGCAGTGCGCTATGCGCTCCCCCCGTGCGTCGCTCGGCTTCTCCCCTCTGCGACCCAAGCCTGTGGCTAAGCCGCCCAGCATGAAGCCCAGGCCCAGGGATGTGATGGGTACCGCTGCTGCTGTGAAGCCCAGAGCGGTGCAGAGCGGTCAAGCGACCGTCGCAGCTGCAGCAACCAAAGCCGCGCCTGCTAAGGCGACGCCAGCAAAGGCGTCGGAAGCTAAGGCTGCGCTAGCTAAGGTGACTCCAGCCAAGGCGACGCCATCTAAGGCGACGCCAGTTAAGGAGGCGCTAGGAAAGGCGACGCCAGCGAAGGCGACGCCAGTTAAGGCGGCGCCAGCTAAGGCAACGCCAGTTAAGGCGACGCCAGCTAAGGCGGCGCCAGCTAAGATGACGCCAGCTAAGGCGACGCCAGCTAAAGCGACGCCAGCTAAGGCTACGTCGCCAGCTACGGCGACACGTGAAAGCTCCACAACCGCAGTAGGTGTGAAGGCTGCAGGTGCAAGCAGCCCAGCAGCAGCCGCAGCAGCAGCAGCTCCGCACAGCCCAAAGGCGGGACTTGCTGGCGGATCTGGAATCCCGAGACCTGCAAGCAGTGCGGCACCAAGGAGGGCCGCAGCAGGAGTCCTGGCAAGTGGCATTCCCAAGCCAGGGAAGGCTGTAGCCAAGTGAAGGAGTGAAAAAAATAAAAATTTAAAATAATAATAATAAAAGCAGCGGCAGCAGCAGCAGATGGGATCCAGGGCGTGTTCAATGGGTATGTGAAGGGACGATTGTGGTGGGTGAGATGGCATGGCTGGTGGGGGCTATAGGGAGGTGCATGGAGGGACTTACCCCTTTTTCCACCCTTCTTGCAGGGTGTTGTGGGAGAGATGGGAGGAGAGGCGGAGGAATGTGGTGAGCTGGAATGGGGAGGCATGGCATGAGGGGGAAGAGCATGCCCTTGGATCCGAATACTTTTGCTGACTGTGTGCTTGAGGGGAATGCTCATGCTGACTGTGCGATCTGTTGCTGCAGCGTGCACCTGCTTGGCTCATGAATAGTAGAATGTTTTAGACTATCATAATTTATGTCCTAGGTCTGTAGTTGTTGATGCTTTACTCATATGGATGCTGTTGATGTGCATTCTGTGCTTGTGTGTTGTGACTGTTTGGTGCGTGGAAGGGAGGAATGGTTGGCGGGTGTGTTTGGATGGATGGGTGTGTTCCTATGGACGGGTGAAGAAGGGAGAAGACTTGACGGGTGCTGGCACTGGCTTTCTAATAAAGGGGAATGTTTGTGCTGAGCTGGTCAGCAGTTGTAGTTCTCTTGTCATGACATCATTCCATGTTCTCATTTGAAGCAGCATAGAAACAGGTCACGACTTCACCCCATTGTTTACCTTTTCCTCCCCTCTGCATCCCCTCTCTTTCCACGTGCTTAGGTTTTGTTTTACATGTTTCCTTTGCAAGGCATAGGTCATGGTTGGTGGTTCCAAGGGTTCCACACAGTCGCCTCTTCCCCCATCCCTTCCCGACATCTCTTGCCCCTCTGTATCGCCACCACCCATCCCATCCATCCCATCCATCCCTTCCGTTCAGATATCTGAGATCTAAACGGTACTTTGCATTTACAAGCTCAAGGCTTAGTTGTCATCATGTGCTGCTTGGTGGGTATTGCATTCCAGTTTGATTACCTCCTGATGCGTTCGCCTAATCTTTCCAGAATCATCGGCTCATGTCATCATGCTTTGGGTTCCTCTTTGCAGTCTTTTCAGTTCATATTGCGTTTATCATGTCATTTCGAATTGATCAGCTCATAATAATTGCTTCAATCTCTCATGCCATTCACAGCAGCTCATGATTCCTTTCTCTCCACACTTCCATATCCCCTTCTCTTCTTTCATTTCCCCCCCTCCTCTTCTTTCATTAATCTGAAACGTGAACAGCACAAACGTTAAAGAAACCCAGGATAGTACCACCCTTTTTCACATCAGCTAGACTGGTTGTTACTGTGTGTAGTATTTGCACTTTCAAATTAGCATATGTCGATGCTCTGCATCATATGCCAGTTTCATCAGCGTGTGATTCGTTCACTATGTCCTGCCAACTCATCAGCTCATGTCATGATGCTTTGAGATTCTCATGCGAGTCTTTCAGCTCGTCACTCGTTTACCCTATCATGTCGCTTTTCATCCGTTCCTCACTCACCTCATCAGCCTCGTGCCATTCACACATCAGCTCATCATGATGCTTTCAGTGGCTCGAGCAAATTACAGCTCAGCATGATACTGTGAGGGATTGGTGCGTGGGAGGGAACTGGACTGATTTGAGAAAAGTAAGAGCTTCCCTGATTACCCATCTTGCTCCCAACTCTCCCTCCCCCTTCCCCCACTGTGTGTATGTCTCCCTGTCCTTATCTACTTCCATCCTTTGCTCCCTCCTTTCTCTTTCCCTCCTCCCTCCTCCTTTACTCATCATGCTTTTCCATCTCTTGCCACTCTCAACGAGTCAGAAACCTATCCGTGCATTTCGTTCCTATTTGACAAACACATGATGTTTGCAACAGCAGCTAGTGCCAGTTCAACCACTGCCTGATGGTTTCGGTGTCTATTCCAAGTTCACCTGCCCATGATGCTATCAGCATTTCATGGCAACTTCGCCAGCTGATGGCGCATTCACTATCGCACCCTCTTTCAGCATCCCCTGGCAGTCTCTGCAGCTGATGATGCCGTCAGTATTTCATTCCTGTTCCATCAGCTCATGATTGTGTCCTGACATTTACAGTTGTTTTTCATGAGTCCAGCAACTCATGCCAAATTTATCAGCTCATGATGCTTGCTGGTTTCAGGATATCTGCCATGCCAACCAAGCTCTCCTGTTCATGATCCTTCCAGCATCTCGTGGCGCAGATAATGCTATCAGCACGTCCTATTGGCTCGTTATGCTGCAATCCCAGTTATTTAGCACAATTGAGAACCACCGGATCATCATGACGTATTATAAGAGCGTGTTCCTGCAACCTCATATCAGGCAACCTCGTATCAGATTGGCGCCGAACTGCACTAGAACGCATTCAACCGCAGTCGAACACACTGAAACGTATTTCACCATGCGAAGCTGATACGAGGTGTGTCTGACACGAGGTGTAGGAACACGCTCTATTTCTCTCATGGGAGATTGTGCTCCCACAACGTTTTTATATTGTAGAGCTACGTTAAAAGCAAGTCGTTCAGTTAACCGTTTGTTATTAACTTGTGCATTGCTACGTCTCTGTTTTCAATGCCGTTTCTGAGAAAAGAGGGGACATTTGCAAGTGAACCATCTATCACTGATACAGAATATCTGCTCCTTCTGAGGAGAGGAGCGTTGCCTTCTAAAGGTATACCGGATGCTTAAATCATGTTTCATTCAGCAGCTAATCAGAACCAATCGTAACGAAGAGGAAAGAAGGGAAGTGAATGTATGTGAACTGCATCACATTGTGTTCCCACTCCGCACATCGCTCACGGCATATGCATTAAGGGCGTGTCCAGTTCGTTCATTTCGGGCTTTTTAGTGCCGACACACGTCTCGAGGTTCAAAATTAATCACTGTACCTAAAAACGAATGCATTGTGAGTTGAGTCCAACCATCTGTAATTTCAGGAGCGCGGACACGTTCCCCGTCACACGAATCAACAGTGCTCTGACCGCGTTCGAAACGAGGTAACAGTTTCTCTCGTCAATCATAGCTAACGAATTTCTGGGCACGCGGAGGGGGTGTTGGCGAGTGTAGCGAGCCACTGGCGAAATCATGCAAGCGATACAGGGGGTACTTTCTGTAGTGGCCAGGACGCGGTGCTGCACCCTTGTTCGCGTCCGCTGATTCCAGTAACGTGAGTCAGACGACTCGAGGTACGTGCATGGGGCGTGCCGTCTTGTGAACGAAAGCTGATTGTGTCCGCAGAACACGTTCAATACAGTGTTACATAAAAATATGTGGTAACTGAGCGGGTTTACGAACAGTAAATGTACGAGCTGGACACCTCCTAAGTTACTTATAGGAGGTTCTTCTAGAGGCAGGATCCTTGGGGCGAGGTTTCAACCGTACTGGTGGGTGATTCTGCGGCGCCACGAAAAGCGCGTACCGGGCGGGTGTTCGGTGGAACCGTCAGTCAGCGTGTGAGCGTGTGAGCGTCAGTTCGCTGAATTGCTCGACGCGGCGATTGCTCGACGCGAAGTATTGCTCGATGGCACAGAATGAAACGAATGGCGGTTCAAATCAACGTGATAGAAATGCTACCAGCAGCTCCGCTAGTAACAGGACCGTTAACAAAAGTTCCGCTAACAGCGGCTCCGTTTACAGCACCGAGAAATGCGCAGTGGATCTGTCGTTCCTCGCCGTCGGATGCAATCGTGTCGCGCACGCTGCTGCGTGGGGCCCGTCGGGGCTGCTCGCCTTCGCCGCGCACCACGGCGTCGCCATATGCGACACTCAGGTGCGACAGATGAGTCGCTCAGGTGCGACCCATGCGACGCTGAGGTGTGACGTGTGCGAAAATCAAGTGCGACGTATGATGCGACTCTAGACCGACATATGCGACCCAATATGCGAGCTGGTATCCAATCGTCGCCACATGCGACGTTCAGTCGCGAGACCAACCCTCGCGCGGGGTGAAAATATCCGGGATTTGCCGCTCTGTAGGGCATCAACCCTTCTATCTGTCCGTTACATCCTTAAACCCCCAACCCCGGAAAACCCTGCACTGAAGTTCGAAGACCTTCGCCGTCTGTTGCGTCTCCTGGTGCGCCTCTCCGTCTATAAAAAGCTACCAGCGGTATTATCTTTCGTTTCACTATTTGCCCCTTCTCCCACCCAGCTGCATTTCATTGCCCTCTACTCACTCTATCCGTCCCAACCCCCCCCCTTGCCGCTTTCAGCGCTATTCCGTTCTCGTCTTCCCCTCTCGTGCTTTCCCCCTCTCCCCTCCCTTCCCCTCTCGTCTCCAACCTTCCTGGACTGGACGGTACGCTCTGGTTTGCCCCCTCCCCACACTTCCTCCCTTCCTCCCAAATGCGTCTCTCTGCTCCCCGCGTGCAGAAATCACGGCTGGTGGCGCAGCTGCCAGGCCACTCGTCTCGAGTCAACTGCTGCCACTGGCTGCCGCAACACCTGCACCTGTTACCTGGTAACCAGCACTTGCATCTTGTTCAGCCTTACACAAGCCTTTGCTGAAAAAAAAGGCGGTTACAGAATAGCGCACCGCCTGCCTTATCTGCCAAGTTACTGCTTCCCCCTTTTCCCCTTCAACTTCTCTTGTTCCGCATCCCCGTTCCCCATCCCCATCCCCCTTCCCCCATCCGTCATTCCCCCCATCCGCCCCCCCTTATCCCCATCACACTGCATGCAGGCATCAGCGCACCTCCCGAGCATGTGAGTGCTCCTGTCGGCCAGTGCAAGCGGATCACTGGTGGCATGGCGTGTGTTCTTCCTCCCCCATCCCCCTTCCCCCGTCGTCCTTGTGCCTTCCCCCATCCCCTTCCCCCCCCTCACACTGCGGGCACCAGTGCACCTCCCGAGCATGTGCTCCTATCGGGCTGTGCAAGCGGGTCACTGGTGGCATGTGTGTCCCTTCACCTGCCCCCCTCTCTCTGTCCCCCTTCCCCCTTCCTGCCTCCCCCGTCCCCCCCTTTCCCCATCCCCCACCCCGTTCCCCCCGCACTGCAGGCACCAGCGCACCTCCCGAGCATGTGCTCCTATCGGGCAGCGCAAGCGGGTCACTGGTGGCGTGGACTTACCACCTAGGCTCGCAGCAGGTGAGAGGAGAGGGGGGACTGGTGGGAAGAGGGGAGGCACGAGGAGTGGGGGCGGGAAACGCAGGGAAGTTGGGGAAGTACGTGCTCCTGTCAGGGAGTGCAAGCGGGTCACTGGTGGCGTGGCGTGGTCTTACCACGCGGGCTCCCAGCAGGTGGGGGGAGAGGGGGGAGTGGTGGCAGGGGGGGTTTGTGGGGTAGGGAAACGGGGTAAGTATGTGCTCTGATGGGGCAGCGAAAGCGGGTGACTAGTGGCGTGGTCTTACCAAGCGGGCTCCCAGCAGGTGGGAGAAGGATGGATTTTTGAGACGTCTCAAAAACAACCTCGCTACACGTGCAGGTGAGACAAGGATGGAAGCTCTGCAGGGAGGAGGATGCAAGGGAGGCGTGGGGTGGCGTGGGGTGGGGTGGGGGACTAGTGTTGGCGCAAGGCAAGAGGCATGGACTGTAAAATGGTCTTATCACGCAGGCTGCCAGCACGAGCGAGGAGGATGGGAGTGGTGGGGAGGATGCGGGGAAGATGAGAGGACTAGTGTTAGTGGAAGGCAGGAGGCAGGGATGGTGGTGGGATGGGAAGTGAGGGAGCAAGCGGCGGGGGTAGTGGCGACGGGAAGCATTGGAAGCACGCGGAGTGTGGGAGCGGAGAGAAGGACACAGCGGAAACATGGGGGACGAGTGTGAGCAAGAGGCGAGTGTTAGCAGGAGGAGTGAGAGAGACTAATGGGGAAGCGGAAAGTCCCTATGAGACGAGGCAAGGGGAGGGGAGGATTAAGGGAGCTGGTGGGTTGGAGGCAGCAGGCAGGACGAAGAGAGAGGTTATGGTACCTGGAAGGAAGGAACGTGAGGGGTGGACAAAGGAATGCAAGATACAAAACAGGAGGGGTAGGAGCTGCAGTGGATCCAATCCAATCCAACTTACAACAAAAACAGGCGCACACACTTTCCTTTTTGCTGCGTATGATTTTTGAGAATTCAAAAAAATCATACGCAGGAGGGGTGGGGTAGGAGCAGCAGTGGATCCAATCCAATTCAAATTACAAAACAAAACAGCAGCACAAACTTTCCTGCATCTGTGCCTGCCGTTTGATTCCCTTCCTGTCCTCTTCTCATCCTTCCATCCACCAATTTCCACCCTCTCTAGTGCTGCCACTCTTCCCTTCTGCGCCCTTCCACCATCTCTTCACCGGTTTGTGCCCTAGCCCTGCTTCACATGCCTCTTCTCATCTCCTTCTCCTCATTCTCTCCTCTTTCCCCCCCGTCCATTCCCCCCTCGCAGTGGTCGCAGCAGCAGCACCTGCCAGCAGCGCACAGCAAGGCCATCACCAGCATATCCTCCCTGCTGCTGCCTCTCTCCTCTGCCCTGCCTCCACACACGCCTCACCACATGCCTAATGCCATGTCCCCTGGTTCCCATCTCTCCCGTTTCTCACCCCCCTCGCAGTGGTCGCAGCAGCAGCACCTGCCAGCAGCGCACAGCAAGGCCATCACCAGCATATCCTCCCTGCTGCTGCCTCTCTCCTCTGCCCTGCCTCCACACACGCCTCACCACATGCCTAATGCCCTGTCCCCTGGTTCCCATCTCTCCCGTTTCTCACCCCCCTCGCAGTGGTCGCAGCAGCAGCACCTGCCAGCAGCGCACAGCAAGGCCATCACCAGCATATCCTCCCTGCTGCTGCCTCTCTCCTCTGCCCTGCCTCCACACACGCCTCACCACATGCCTAATGCCCTGTCCCCTGGTTCCCATCTCTCCCGTTTCTCACCCCCCTCGCAGTGGTCGCAGCAGCAGCACCTGCCAGCAGCGCACAGCAAGGCCATCACCAGCATATCCTCCCTGCTGCTTCCTCTCTCCCCTGCCCCGCCTCATCACTCACCTGATGACACGCCGTCCCCCCACACACCTGACGACACACCCCCTCCACCCCCGGCTGCACTGGTGGTTACCACCTCGGCGGATGGCACAGTGGGCGTGTGGGCCGCCAGCTGGCAGGGCGGGGCGGGAGTCGCAGCAGATGCAGCATCGGTGCCAGCAGAGTCAGCATCGGCGCCAGCAGCGCCATGTGGGGAGCGGGACTCAGGGTTTAAGTTCTCCCTGAGTGCACTGGAGCGCATCGAAGTGGGCGGGCTGTGCATGGAGGCCTCTGCGCTCTGCTGCCTGCCTGCTGGGGGGGCAGGGGCGGGTAGGGGTGGCGATGGAGAGAGGGGTGGGGATGCAGGGAGGCATGGGAGTGTGTTGCTGGCGTTGGGGGGCCTGGACAACAAAGTGCACCTCTACACTCGCCCGCTCATGGTGGGTCCAAGGGGTTGTTTTGAAAGGGGGCTTTGATTGCAGTTGCAGGCAGGATTATATGTATAGTGTGCATGCATCGAGGCGTGGCAGTGTGCTGCTGACGCTGGGAGGGCTGGCTGGGTAACAAAGTGCACCTCTACACTCGTCCCTGCATGGTGCGCTGCTTAGGGGGTTGAGGGGGAGTTGATAGGGCGATTTGCGCGCAGGCACATATGCATAACGTGCAGTGGGGCATGGTATGACAGTGTGTTGCTGGCGTTGGGGGGCCTGGACCTGGACAACAAAGTGCACCTCTACACTCGCCCCATCACGGTGCGCTAAGTAGCCTCACACTTTCTCACACTCACATGCCTTATTGTCGCCTACCTATGCACCGGCCGGCCTCACTCATTGTGAGCCGTGCCTCACTCATTGTGAGCCGTGCCTCACTCATTGTGAGCCGTGCCTCACTCATTGTGAGCCGTGCCTCACTCATTGTGAGCCGTGCCTCACTCATTGTGAGCCGTGCCTCACTCATTGTGAGCCGTGCCTCACTCATTGTGAGCCGTGCCTCATTCGTTGTTGTGGGGCCGTTACAAGGCCCTTGGCCTGGCGTCACTATACCTCCCTGGCTCATGGCTCATGGCTCATGGCTCATGGCTCATGGCTCATGGCTCATACCTCCCTGAGTAGAGTAGCTCATGGCTGTTCTTTCACCACCTCCCTCGCATGAAATCGCACGTCCTGTCTCCTGTATAACCTTCTTCCCTCCACTCTCCTGCTCTTCTTGATCCCCTGTGTGTGCCCCAACACTTATCTGCAAATGTCTGCACTGTACCCCATCCCACCCCACCCCACCCCATCCCACCCCACTCCATCCCATCCCACCCCGCCCCATTCCACCCCACCCCACCCCACCCCACCCATCCCACCCCCCCAGCCGTTCCCCCCCTCGGTGCGCTTCACGAGGGTGTGTTCGCTGGCAGGCCATCAGGACTGGATCCGCTCGCTCGCCTTCTCCCTCCCCATGCTCGCCCCTCCCCCTGCTTCCACTGCGTCTGCCGCATCTGCTGCGCCACCACCTCCGCTGTCTGAAGCAGCAGCAGCTGCGGGAGCGGCAGCACCCGCGTCCCCCAGCACACCCCACGTGCTGCTCGCGTCTGCCTCTCAGGATCGCAACGTGCGCGTCTGGAAGCTCGCGCTCTCTCCTCCTGCTCCTGCTGCTGCTGGCACTGACACGGCCTACAGCAGCGCTGCAAGTGCTGCTCATTCCGATCTTCTAAAAGAGTTTGGGGAGCTAGGGGGTTATACAGCTGGCCCCTGCTTCCAATCAGGAGAGGACACGTGGCAGGTCATGCTGGATGGGCTGCTGGTGGGGCACGAGGATTGGGTGCACTCAGTGACGTGGCACCCTCCTATTCGCTCTCGCCATTCCGTCCCGTCCTCCGTTCCTGTTCTACCTGTTGCCAAGCCTTTCAGCTCCGAGCCTGATTTTTCCAAACCTGCTGCTTCCAATCCTGCACAAGCCACTCTTTTCCAGCCCCTGCGCCTGCTGACGTCATCAATGGATCGCACCATGCTGATGTGGCAGCCTGCCACGTGGCAGGGGGCTGGAGGACTCTGGCTGGCAGATGTCAGCCTGGGAGAGGTGGGGCACTCGTCTCTGGGGTTCTTTGGCGGTGTGTGGTCGCCACGTGGCGACGCGGTATTGGCCCACGGGTTCACTGGGAGCTTGCACATGTGGCGGGACTATGGGAGAGCGAGAGAGGAGGATGCGGGAGGACGCGGGGAGGAGACGGAGGATGAGGACCGGGGCAGTGCAGGAACGCAGGGAAAGGTGAAATGTAGTGGCAGTGTGGACGGGAGAGGGGAGGAGAGAGCAGGAGGGGAGGAGGAGGGGAGGGAGAGGGAGGAGGAGTGGAGGGCGGTGGTGGCACCAACGGGGCACTTTGGCCCAGTGGTGGACATGTGCTGGGATGCACACTCGCAACTGCTGCTGTCTGTCAGTAGCGACCAGGTGAGGCCAGCAACGAGGTGAGGTGAGAAATGACTTTTGAGTCAACTCACGCAAGGCACTTAGGGCCAGTGGTGGACATGTGCTGTGCTGGGATGCTTGCTCGCAGCTGCTGCTGTCCGTCAGTAGCGACCAGGTGATAGGACTATTTTTTATTAATGCATGGGTGCTTGGTAGACAAACATGAATCCTTCCCTGCCCTCAGGAGCCTTGCCCTTCCCTGCCCTCAGGAGCCTTGCCCTTCCCTGCTCCGGTCTGTGCTGCTGCCCCTTTCGTACTTGTCTCCGTTCCTCGCACTGTTGCATGTACCGTAGCAGGTGCCGCACACATCGTAAACGTGAAATAAATTCAGCCCCCACGGGTGGAGACTTGTGAGTCGTGAGGCAGGTTGAGTGGGTCCATAAGGATTGAGATACCACGAAGCAGCACGTTCAGTCGGTACCACGAGTTGAGTGGGTACAGTCGGCCACGCCACACACAAGTCAAGCCTTTGGCCCTCAAATGTGCTGCGCCTCCCGTGGCGTTTCCCCTCTCCCTCTCCCTCTCAATCTGTGGGGTGCTTCTCTTGACAGACTGCTCGCATCTTTGCCCATTGGGAGGATGGCGGCGCTGCGCCCGGCAGTACAGGTGGTGGTGGTGGTGGTGGTGGTGGTGGTGGTGGTGGTGGTGGTGGTGCGGACGAGCAGCAGGCACAGGGGTGGCGGGAGACGGCTCGCCCGCAGGTGCACGGCCACGACCTCAAATGCGCCGCCTTCTGCCCGAGCCTCAGGCTCGGCGACGGCTCGGACGGAGGTTCCGGTGCTGTTGAAGGGGCTGGTGGGGAGGGGAGGTGCAACGGGGTAGGGGGAGACTCAGGGCGGTCGGATGGCAGGACGGATGGGGCACAGGGAGGGGCGGAGGGATCACAGGGAGGGGCGGAGGGATCACAGGGAGGGGCGGAGGGATCACAGGGAGGGGCGGAGGGATCACAGGGAGGGGCGGAGGGATCACAGGGAGGGGCGGAGGGATCACAGGGAGGGGCGGAGGGATCACAGGGAGGGGCGGAGGGATCACAGGGAGGGGCGGAGGGATCACAGGGAGGGGCGGAGGGATCAGAGGGAGGGGCGGAGCGGGCACAGGAATCACAGGGAGGGGCAGAGGGGGCGGAGGGATCAAAGGGTGGGGCGGAGCGGGGTCTGGTGTACGTGAGTGGCGCGGAGGAGAAGGTGGTTCGCGTGTTTGAGTCGCCCCAGCTGTTCCTTGACTCCCTCCTCTTCACCCGCTCTGCTGCCTCGTGCCCTTCAGCAGAGGAGGGGGGAGGTGCTTGTCGGGAGGGTAGCAGAGAGGGGGATGCAGCAGCAGCGGCAGCAGCAGCAGTGGCGCAGCAAGGGAAGGGTGTGGCGATGGCAGCGAGCATGTCTGCTCTCGGCCTTTCACAAAAGCCCATCTACTCCTCTGCTGCCGCTGGTATGTGAGTGGGTTGGCAGGTGAGGTTCACCACTGTGGGTGAACCTCACATTTCAGTTACCGATGTGTGTGAGGTTCACCCATCATGTGTGTGAGGTTCACCCATCATGTGTGTGAGGTTCACCCATCATGTGTGTTTCAGAAGTCTTGGTCCCTCGCAGAGGCCTGTCTACTCTGCTGCTGCCACTGGCATGTGAGTGGGAATGGTATGTGTGTGTAGGAGCCATGATTTGTCTGTCTGTGCATGCATTGCCCACTGTCTTGTGCGCTCGCAATATCGCGAGCGTGGCACCCATGTTACCCTCTTTCTCACTCCTCCCGTACCCCTTCCTTAACCCCACCTCCCTCCCTCCTTCCCCAGCTCCCAGCGATCCCACCTCCACTCTCACCTCCTCCCTCGGCTACTCCCAGGACGCCATCCTGCTGCTCACCTCCCCCTCCCCTCTGGGCCCTCTACACCCTCTGGGCGTCGTCCACTCTCACCTCCTCCCTCGGCTACTCCCAGTACGCCACCCTCGATGGGAGGGGGATGCTAACGACGCCATCCCGCTGCTCACCTCCCCCTCCCCTCTGGGCCCTCCCCCCCAGCTCCCAGCAACACTGACTCCACCCTTGCCTCCTCCCTCGGTTACTCCCAGTACGGGGATGCGGACGACGCCATGCCAGGGCTTACCTCCCTCCCCCTTCCATTTTCTCTCCTCCCTCTGTCTCTCCGTCCTTCCCCCCGTCCGTCCCGCCCCCTCCCTTTCCCGCTGCTTCAGCTCCCAGCGACCCTGACTCCACGCTAGCATCCTCCCTCGGTTACTCCCAGTACGGGGATGCTGACGACGCCATGCCACTGCCGCCCGCCGTGCTGCAGCAGCCGCCCAGAGAGGAGCAGCTGGCGGGCGGCACGCTTTGGCCGGAAGTGCGAAAGCTGTACGGACACGGGAATGAGATCCTGTGCTGCGCTGCTGACCACGGCGGAAGGTTCCTGGCAACTGCCTGCAAGGTAGGAGAGACAGACGCAGCAGTATAAAGTCAGATTAAGCAACGTGGAATGTGCAAGGTGGAATGTGCAACGTGGAATGTGCAAGGTGGAATGTGCAACGTGGAATGTGCGAGGTGGAATGTGCAACGTGGAATGTGCGAGGTGGAATGTGCAACGTGGAATGTGCAAGGTGGAATGTGCAACGTGGAATGTGCAAGGTGGAATGTGCAACGTGGAATGTGCGAGGTGGAATGTGCAGCGTGGAATGTGCAAGGTGGAATGTGCGAGGTGGAATGTGCGACGTGGAATGTGCGACGTGGAATGTGCAACGTGGAATGTGCAGCGTGGAATGTGCAGCGTGGAATGTGCAGCGTGGAATGTGCAGCGTGGAATGTGCAATGTGGAATGTGCAGTGTGGAATGTGCAGCGTGGAATGTGCAGCGTGGAATGTGCAGCGTGGAATGTGCAGCGTGGAATGTGCAGCGTGGAATGTGCAGCGTGGAATGTGCAACGTGGAATGTGCGACGTGGAATGTGCGACGTGGAATGTGCAACGTGGAATGTGCGACGTGGAATGTGCAACGTGGAATGTGCAACGTGGAATGTGCAACGTGGAATGTGCGAGGTGGAATGTGCGAGGTGGAATGTGCGACGTGGAATGTGCGACGTGGAATGTGCGACGTGGAATGTGCAACGTGGAATGTGCGACGTGGAATGTGCGACGTGGAATGTGCAACGTGGAATGTGCAACGTGGAATGTGCAGCGTGGAATGTGCAGTGTGGAATGTGCAGTGTGGAATGTGCAACATGGAATGTGCAGCGTGGAATGTGCAGCGTGGAATGTGCAGCGTGGAATGTGCAGCGTGGAATGTGCAGCGTGGAATGTGCAACGTGGAATGTGCAACGTGGAATGTGCAACGTGGAATGTGCAAGGTGGAATGTGCAACGTGGAATGTGCAAGGTGGAATGTGCAACGTGGAATGTGCAAGGAGGTGGAATGTGCAACGCGGAATGTGCGAGGTGGAATGTGCAACGTGGAATGTGCAATGTGGAATGTGCAAGGTGGAATGTGCAACGTGGAATGTGCAAGGTGGAATGTGCAACGTGGAATGTGCGAGGTGGAATGTGCGAGGTGGAATGTGCGACGTGGAATGTGCGACGTGGAATGTGCAACGTGGAATGTGCGACGTGGAATGTGCAACGTGGAATGTGCGACGTGGAATGTGCAGCGTGGAATGTGCAATGTGGAATGTGCAGCGTGGAATGCGCAACGTGGAATGTGCAACGTGGAATGTGCAGCGTGGAATGTGCAGCGTGGAATGTGCAGCGTGGAATGTGCAGGGTGGAATGTACGTGGAGGGGCAAGGGGGGGCAGGGCAGCATGTGTGCTTGCTATGCTGCATACTGACCTGATTATTTGTGTCCTCCTATCCGGAGCTTGGGAGTTGCTGAGCTCTAGTGCATGCCTTCCCTGCCTCGTGTGTGGCTCCTCCCTTGCTTTGCCTGTCTCTCATTCCCTCTCCTCCTCAGTTGCCCTGCCCCCCAACTTTCGTCCGTTTCTTCCCTGTCCCTTCTGCATTTCCTCCCTCCTCTCTCCCTTTCCCCCTTTCCTTCACCTGTCTCTCGCTCTCACCTGTCTCTTGCTCTCACCTGTCTCTCGCTCTCACCTGTCTCTCGCTCTCACCTGTCTCTCGCTCTCACCTGTCTCTCGCTCTCACCTGTCTCTCGCTCTCACCTGTCTCTCGCTCTCACCTGTCTCTCGCTCTCACCTGTCTCTCGCTCTCACCTGTCAGGCCCAATCCCCGGATTTCGCAGCAATCTGGCTCTGGCACACACCCAACCCATCTCCCTCCTCCACCACCACCTCCTCCTCCTCTTCCCCAACCACCGCGCCAGCAGCCCCATGGACAGCAGCAGCTCGCCTAGCAGCGCACACGCTTTCAGTGACACAGATGCACTTCTCCCCCTGCGATGCCCTCCTGCTCTCCGTCTCCCGCGACCGTCACTTCTGCCTCTTTGCTGCCACCCACGGTGCCGCTGATGCAGGTACGTAAGTCCCCTGTTTCCTGTAGCGATGCTCGCAGCTCCCTTTGCTCCCTGAACAGCAGCACAGCGCGCCTATCAGCCCACGCGCTCTCAGTGACACAGATGCACTTCTCCCCTTGCGACACTTTCCTCCTCTCCGTCTCTCGTGGCCGCCACTTCTGCCTCTTTGCTGCCGCCCCGTCTGCTGCTGATGACGCTGGTGCGTGTGTCCCCTGCGCTGGTGGTTTACCCCCCTCTGCCAGCGCGTCAGCCCCCTGTGCTCTGTAGTGCGTCAGCCCCCTGTGCTCTGCCAGCGCGTCAGCCCCCTGTGCTCTGTAGTGCGTCAGCCCCCTGTGCTCTGCCAGCGCGTCAGCCCCCTGTGCTCTGCCAGCGCATCAGCCCCCTGTGCTCTGACAGCGCGTCAGGCCTCTGTGCTCTGTAGCGCTGCTCATAGTTCCCTTTGCTCCAATTCCCCCCCTGTGCCTACTCTCCGTCTCCCGTTCCCGCCACTTCTGCCTCTTCACTGCCACCCGCACTGCTACTACTGCCCATGCCATGCTGCTTCTGCTGCTTCTGTCGCTGCTGCCGATGTTAAAGGTGCTGCTGATATTGGGTCATCCCCCTTGTGCCGCTTGCATTGCATCTGCTTTGCCTTTGGGCCGCGTGCTGCCACTGCTTTCTCCTCCACGCGTTTTCTTCCCGCTTCCCCTCCTAAATTCTCTGCCAGCAATCGTTCTTATTGTTTGTCGCCCCGCCAAATTATCTTGCTCCCTTGTTCTTGGCTTGTCTCTGGGCTTTTCAGCGTTCACTCGTGTACTTTGAGAGTTCTCAACGGCGTCTTGCCCACCAACCCTTCCTTGCCGATCCCTCCCCTCCCCACTAACCCTTCCTTGCCGATCCCTCCCCTCCCCACCAACCCTTCCGTGCCGATCCCTCCCCTCCCCACCAACCCTTCCTTGCCGATCCCTCCCCTCCCCACCAACCCTTCCTTGCCGATCCCTCCCCTCCCCACCAACCCTTCCTTGCCGATCCCTCCCCTCCCCACCAACCCTTCCTTGCCGATCCCTCCCCTCCCCACCAACTCATGCAGCCCTGTACAAGCTCGTTGCAAGGGTGGAGGCACACAAGCGTATCATCTGAGCTTGCTCCTGGGATGGCTAGGACTGACATTTTCACCTGCTGCTTCTCACCCGCCCACCCTCACCCACCTACCTTTTCCCATTTACCCGCACAGCTCCTTATCACCTCGTTGCGAGGGTGGAGGCACACAAGCGAATCATCTGGGCGTGCTCCTGGGCGCCCTCAGGCCGCATCTTTGCCACGGGGTCAAGAGACAAGACGGTGAGAACCCATCACTGCTCATTCGTCTCAAAGAGGCCTGCGCATAGTTGCCCTGCGCATAGTTGCCCTGCGCATAGTTGCCCTGCGCATGCGCTATAGCGTTGAACTGGGGGGGATGTGGAATGAATCGGAGGTGGAGGAGTGGGATGATCGCCCTTCGTTTCAGCCCCCTCTCATGTGCCACATCACATGCCTGCTGGTGCATGTGCCACATCACATGCCTGCTGATGCATGCTGATGTCACTGAATGTCGCGCTCTATGGTTGACTGCTTGAGTGGAAGTTACATGTGACAATCGCCGGAGCGGAGGTGATGTTTTGAGTAAACTAGTTACTCTGCCTGTCGCGCCTTGAGGTTGACTGCTTGAATGGACGTTTGACGCGGCATGATGTCACAATTATGCTTCGGCTGCCTGCCAACATGCACTTTTCATGCACCAGGCCAAGGTGCAATGAGTCATGCCAACACATCATCAAACCATCTCTTGTACTCTCAACATTCCCACTCTCTCCCCACAAACCCCCACCCACCCCCCCCGCCCCCCCCCCCTTCTCACAATGCAGGTGAAGGTGTGGCAAGTCATTGAACAGCCACCCTCCACCACTCCCTCCACCACCTCCCCTCCCTCCTCCCACACCACCATGCTCCTCGCAACCCTTCCCACCTTCCCCCACCCAGTCACGGCTGTGGCCTGGTCCACTTACCTTCCACCCCTCCCTCCTCCCCCTCCTCATCCACAACCCTCCACAACCAACCCACCTGCTGATCCTGTTTCTGCTCCTGCCTCTGCTGCACTACGCTCGCTCCTTGCTGTTGGCTTAGAGAATGGGGTGATACAGCTGTGGAGCGCAGACCTTTCCCCCTTTGCTTCTCCCACTTCCACCGCACTCCACCCCTCACCTTCTCCACCCAAGCTGCAGCTGCAGCGTCTGGTGGCTTTTAGTGACATCCATTGCCACCTGGCAGCTGTTCATAGGCTGAGGTGGCGAGGGGAAGTTGGATCGAGGGATAGAGGCGCAGGAGAGGTTAGGGTTACTGGGTGTAACAGGGAGGTACCGGTAGGTGCAGAAGAGGTGGGGGGAGGGAGGTGTTTGGAGTTGGCAAGCTGCTCAGATGACCATTCTGTGAGGCTGTTTCGGATCAATGTGCATCATTTGTAACAGCAGCTCTTTTAAACTGGTTAGTTAATTTCCGTTTCATGAATCACGACCGAAAAGAACTGAAGCACTACATACAGTCACACTCCACAGTAGGCAGTCAACAGTAGATCATATCAGAGGAATAGGCCCAAATTTTTGCTGTCATTAAACATTCTGGCAGTCGTCAATCTGGTGAGTAAGCCATTGCTTGCTACTGGATTTTGTTGAAAAAAAACCCAAGGCTATACAACCATGCACTCCCCACTGCATTTGAAAACAGTGGCATCCAAATGCTTGCCGTCACTGCCGTGCGGCCATCGGCGAATTCGGCCGTCGTGCTCGTGTCGTGTTGGCCGGTAATACAGAAAAGGGATCTGGATGCTTGCTTGCTTGCCTGCCCGCCAACAACTGCTCAATGGCGCCGACCGGGCGCCGGCGCGCCGGGGAAGGACCAGACCGGACCGACCGCCCTGTAGAGGCCGGCCGGGTTGGCTGGCGTGACGGCGGGTGCAGGGGGGAGCTGGAGCGTCTTTGGGGCGCGAGGGCGCGCTTATGATTCGTGCGCCTCCTTCTCGCTCGACGGCGAGGCCAGTATGCCGCGCGCTAGTTCCGCCAGGCTGGCGGCTGGAATACACAGCCAATCAGGGCGGTGCGCGGCTTCGTAGCAAACTTCATAGGCCGCTCTTTCGAGCAATGCCAGTTCCAGCAGGCTCTGCTCCGCGCCTGGCTTGAGCCACGGGTGGGGCGCCTGGTGGGCCACCGCATGGTACCCCTGCATAAACGCACTGCGCGCACGCTGAATAAAGCGCGAGAGCAAGGCTTCCCGGCGTAGTAGCTGAGGCGGCGCCGGTTCAGGTGGGGCGCGTAGCTGAGGCGCAGGTTCCGAGACCATAGGCTTCTTCATGATCCCGAACGTCTCGGTGGTGCAAGCAGGGCCGGTGAGCGGACCCGACTTTTGAGACGTCTCAAAAATAGGTGAGGCGTGCAGCTGAGGCGCTGGTTCCAAGACCATAGGCTTATTCACGATCCCCAATGTCTCGGTGGCGCAAGCGGTGAGCAGAGCAGACCCCAACGGACCTGGTGGGCTCAGCACGGCAGCGGCGTAATCGAATGAGCGCAGCAGCCCCGCCACGTCGCGTAAGGGGGTAGTCTTGGTGCGCCGCTCGGCAAACGGACGGGCCGGCTCGCCTTCGAAATCAACGAGGCAAGCGTCGTCGATGTGGGTGCAAGAGTCGGTGCTGCGCGCGACCAAAACCTGCCCCAGATGGAGGTCACCGTGAATACGCAGGTACAGCGAATCTTGCTCCAGGCACGCGCGCTCGCGTATCGCTTGCGTCAACGGTTCGACGTGGTTTTCCAGCCATTCGGCGTCGGCGTCGGCGTCAGCGTAGGCGGCAGCGAGCGTGCGGCCGTCAAGTTTGCCGCCGCCGCTGCGGCGGTGCTCGGCCAAAACCCGGAGCGCGTCGTGCAGCGTTGCGATAGCCTGCGCCGCATGCTGTTGGGCTTGGGCAGAATCGGCGCGCTCGGGGCTGAAGGCTGGATCGTCAGCAGGCGCGGCGAGCGCGCTATGCAGCTCCGCCAGCCGCCTGCCTATGGTACTGGCCATGGCGGCGTAACCAGCTAGTTCCGCATCGTATTCTTCCAGTGACGCGCCAGAGGCGCCGGTAAGCCGCGTAGCGTTATCCAGCGTCCGTTTGAGATAGTCCAGGGTCCAAGACCAGGCGTCGCCCTCGTTCGCTATGTGCCGATGGACCAGCGCCAATGTGTAACACGTGCCGTCGCTCTCTTCGCGAATCACTTCGCCCAGTAACGCGGGCGAATTAGCGAACTCCAGCTGGGTTAGCCTGCGGGTCATCTCGGCCTCGGGATTCACGCCGGGATTTAACCGTCGCACTAGCTTAAGCATGACCTTGCCGCCGTTAGTCCCATCGCCCACGCTGAGCGAGCTGTTAGACTGATCGCCCGCGAACCACTTCACGGGAGCATCGGCCGGTAGATCCACTGCCGCCAACCCCGCCTCGCCGCGGAAACGCAGCACCCCCTCCCGGCCGGCCGGCGCGATGGCGATTTCCCGGTCTTCGCGGAGCGCCTGGATGATCGCGTGCGCAAAAGCCGGGACGGCAAAAGCGTCGGCGAGCAGGCCTAGGCCTGCCTCGGCGCTCCGGCGGATTCGCGCCAAGGTGTGCTGGTGACTTGGAACAATGGGCGGCACGGCCTCCTCGCTCCAAATTAGCGCGACGGGGACGAACAGGCGCTGCGGCTGGCCATCGCCGGCCGGTATTTCCACTTCGGCAATAAAGCATTTGTCTTCGCCGTCGGGGGAAAGTGGCGTAGTGTAAACAAGGCGCGCCGATAGCGGCGGCTGGGTGTGCGGAAACCAGCGTTGCCGCATTAAATATCGCGGCAGCACGTCATGCTCCAAGGTGCGGCGCGAGGGCTCCGTCAGGACGCAGCCGGTCCGGCCGCGCAAATCCAGCGTGGCGTGTTCGGACATCTGGTTGTGCAGGGCCGGATTGCCATGCCGAGGTGCCGTAAGTTGGATAAGAAAGTAAGTGACGTCTAGTGTGTTCCTGTACGGTTCAATAAGTAGGATAAGAAAGGCGCCGTCAGACTGTGGGGCCAGTGTGCTCCCGCGGATTCCATGCCGCGGGATGCCATGCCGGCGGAGAAGGGGGAAGGGGGGGGACTGTGGTGCCATGCCATGCCATGCCGGTAAGTTGGATAAGAAAGACGCCGTCAGGCTGTTCTTGCATGGCTCTGCGTGGGTGTCATTGTACTGTACATGTTGAGGGACGCCGTCAGGTCGTGTTACTTGTGTGCTCCCGCGAATTTCGCGAGGCTGCGCCAGGGAAGCGAGAGGAGTCTTGGTTGGGATGGGAGGTCCCCGCGAAGCCCTCGCCTTCCAAGCCTACCTCGTTTGGCTTTCGTCTTGACGCTACCAAACCTGTGCCGAACCTCCATTTCCGACATTCCCGACTAGCAAGGTTTCCTCCTTATTTTGAGTAGGCCCTCACTTGTTTAAGCCATTCTGTCAACTATCTTTAGTATCCTTTCATATTTCATTCCTTTTAACCTACTGCTTATAACATTGCCTAAATAAAAACATTTCTCATTTCTTTACCACATGCTTCTTTGGTTTTAATCATATAAAAAAATAGGAACATACAAATAAGGTGTAAACTGGTCGATCATCTGTCACCCTCGCATCTGGTTGGAAGCTGGGGTGGTCGATCATTTCATAGCATACGCAGCCAGGACCAGAATTTTGGAGCATAATTATAGTAGTGCCAACAACTGAAAGCTTGTGGAGCACAATAGAGTGAATCCATGCTTGTGCTTTTTTTTGGCGCAGCCAGCTAGGCTTATCTAGGGCCTTGATCATTGCCGTCATCACCACCCCAACACATCAGAATCAGCAGCTCAAAACGAATAATAAATGATCAGTATCCTAAAACACACCAGCAATACTGCCATCCGCACACCAGTGCCACCAATCCTCACCAAAGTCCCCACCCCATCCCATGTGTTACAGTTGAGACCCCCAACGCACAAATCAGTCTAGTCTGCTTTTCTCTCCAGTGTCCACATGCTGCCTGTTCCACGTGCCACCACCCTACTCCCTCTCTCACCCTCATCACCACCACTCATGCTGCCCCTGACGTCATCTCCGACACCACGAGTGACGTCAGCAGAGGCATGAGCCCTCCTAGTGGGTGTGAGGGTGAGGAGGAGCGAGTGGAAGCGGTGGAGGGAGCTGCGGTGGCCGATGCTGATAAGTCAGTCTAGTCTGCTATTCTCTCCAGTGTCCACATGCTGCCTGTTCCACGTGCCACCACCCGCTTCCCTTCCACACCCTCTCCCCCACTGCTGATACCATCACTCCTGTCCGTGATGTCATCAGTGACGTTAGCAGTGGCGGCGTCGGCCCTCCCGGCAGGTGTTAGGGTGAGGAGGAGCGAGTGGAAGCGGCGCAGGGAGCTGCGGTGGCCGATGCTGATGAACGTCACGCCTGCTGCTTCCACCAGCCCGTACACATGCGCCTGTGGGAGGGGAGAGAAAGAGATGGGGAAGGTATGAGAATGAAAACCACCATACACACACATGAGAGATGGAGGAAGCTGCGGTGGCCGATGCTGATGAACGTCACTCCTGCTGCTTCCACCAGCCCGTACACATGCGTCTGTGGGAGGGGAGAGAAAGAGATGGGGAAGGTATGAGAATGAAAACCACCATACACACACATGAGAGATGGAGGAAGCTGCGGTGGCCGATGCTGATGAACGTCACTCCTGCTGCTTCCACCAGCCCGTACACATGCGGCTGTGGGAGGGGAGAGAAAGTGATGGGGACGGTATGAGAATGAAAACCACCATACACACACATGAGAGATGGAGGAAGCTGTGGTGGCCGATGCTGATGAACGTCACTCCTGCTGCTTCCACCAGACCGTACACATGCGCCTGTGGGAGGGGAGAGAAAGAGATGGGGACGGTATGAGAATGAAAACCACCATACACACACATGAGAGATGGAGGAAGCTGCGGTGGCCGATGCTGATGAACGTCACTCCTGCTGCTTCCACCAGCCCGTACACATGCGCCTGTGGGAGGGGAGAGAAAGAGATGGGGACGGTATGAGAATGAAAACCACCATACACACACATGAGAGATGGAGGAAGCTGCGGTGGCCGATGCTGATGAACGTCACTCCTGCTGCTTCCACCAGCCCGTACACATGCGCCTGTGGGAGGGGAGAGAAAGTGATGGGGACGGTATGAGAATGAAAACCACCATACACACACATGAGAGATGGAGGAAGCTGCGGTGGCCGATGCTGATGAACGTCACTCCTGCTGCTTCCACCAGCCCGTACACATGCGCCTGTGGGAGGGGAGAAATTAGCAGGATTGGGATCGTGGAGACTTTTGAGTCAGCTCAAAAGTCACTCCTGCTGCTTCCACCAGCCCGTACACATGCGGCTGTGGGAGGGGAGGGGAGAAATGAGCAGGATTGGGATTGGGATTGGGATCGTGGGCTGTCTGTACTCCTGGGCTGGCTTCTTACACCACATGCACACATGAGTGCTGGTGGGAGCAGCGGAGGCCCATGCTGATGAGCGTGACGTGACTCCTGCCGTCTCCACCAACGCACACACACACACACACACACTCACACACACACACACACACACACACACACACACACACACACACACACACACACACACACACACACACACACACACACCTTGTCCGCACTTCAATCTACTCCACCCGCTCACACCTCATTCTCCTCATCCAAGGCGCTGGTAGATTCGTCCATGAGAGCAAGTTCCGGGTGGGAGAGCAGCGGGCGGAAAAGACAAGGCGCTGCTGCTTGCCCAGCGACAGCACACTCGCCCACTCCACCTGCGCGTCTCTAGCCAACCCCACCCACCCTCCTTCTTCGCTCTCCTGCACGTTTGGTGATTCGATCGGCTTGGCAAACTGCTGCACTTGGTAACCTTACCCCCCTCACCTCGTTTTCTTCATCCAGGGCACTCGTGGATTCGTCCATGAGAGCAAGTTCCGGTCTGGAGAGCAGCAGGCGGGCGAAGGCGAGGCGCTGCTGCTCGCCCAGCGACAGCACACTCGCCCACTCCACCTGCGCGTCTAGGCCCCCCTGGCGCTCCGCCACGTGGTGCAATCTCACGCCGTCCAGCACTGCCAGGAGCTCCTCATCCGACGGCTGAGGGCGGTGCGCCATGTTGTGGGGTGATGAGGCGAGGGTGGAAATGGAGGTGGGGGGGAATCCGGCTGGTGGGAGATGAGAGAGGGAGGGAGACAGAGGGGCAGGAAACAGATGGAAGGGAAGCAGAAAAGCAGAGGTGAGACGTTTCAGACTTCCAGCGGTGCGCCATGTTGTGGGGTGATGAGGCGAGAGTGGAAATGGAGGTGGGAGGGAATCCAGCTGTGGGGGAAGGGTGGGGTGTTGAGGGGGGAGAAGAGGGAAGGATGAGAATTTGTCATGTATTGTCATGAGGACGCAAAGTACAGTTACTGAGAAGAGTAGAGATCACAAGGGAAAGGGGATCCGAAGGCAGGAAAATCGTGCCGAGTGTGTGAGGCAAGCAGACAGAGCAAGAGACAGAGACACCAACCTACGCATGTTGGAATTTAGAGTCTACTCAAAGGTCAAAAGGGAATATGGAGGCAGGACAGCTGTGCCGAGAGTGAGTTGACTTTTGAGTCGACTCAAAAGTCAGAGTCTACTCAAAGGTCAAAAGGGAATATGGAGGCAGGACAGTTGTGCCACGAGTGAGTTGACTTTTGAGTCGACTCAAACGTCAGAGTCTACTCAAAGGTCAAAAGGGAATATGGAGGCAGGAAAGTTGTGCCATGAGTGAGTTGACTTTTGAGTCGACTCAAAAGTCAGAGTCTAATCAAAGGTCAAAAGGGAATATGGAGGCAGGACAGCTGTGCCACGAGTGTGAAGCGAGCAGGCAAAGCGAGAGACAGAGAAACCAGCCTACGCATGTTTCTTGCCCTCGTGTGTGATGAGTCGAGTTTTGAGTCGACTCAAAGCAGGACAAACGTGCAAAGTGTGTGAGGCGAGCAGGCTAAGCAAGAGACAGAGAAACCAGCCTACGCATGTTCCTTGCCTCTCACCTGTCCCTCCATTGTCTGCGTCCTTCTTGATCCCCAACCGCTGCATCAACCCACCCACCGTCCACCACCCCTCCATACTCCCCTCCCTCTCCTCCTTCCCCTCGCTCCCCTCGCCCCCCTCCCTCTGCGCCACTACTACCCTCCCATCATCCGCCCGCCCTGTCCCTTCCCCCTCCTCCAGCTCACTCCACGTGGGGTACAACAGCTGCTGCCTGAGCGACCCCAGCACCATGTACGGCCGCTGCGGGACAAAGAACACCGCCCCTCCTGCGTCCATCACCCCATCCTCCACGTCAGCCACTGCACCCTCTGCTTTCACCACGCTCGCGCCCTCCACACTCACGCTCACACTCGCTTCACTCTCACTCTCACGCCTCTCCACACTCACTTCCCCCTCACTCTTTTGCCCCTCTGCCTCCTCTGTCTTGCCCCTCGCTCCACTCCCACTCCCTTCTCCATCATTCTCGTTATAGTCATTCTTTGAATGGGCACTGTCATTAATCACAGCGCTCGTATTACTATGCGTGTTGCTGCTAGGGGGGGCTGCTTTGCTTTCTGTTGACGCTGCTGATCCCTCAGGCAGGTAAACATATCTTCTGACCGTTCCGCTGCCCGATCGCCAGAGCCCGGCAACGGCTCGAAGCAGAGAGGTCTTGCCACTGCCGCTGGGACCCATGATCTGGGATGGGCGGGAGGGCAGGGGGGGAGAGGAGGGTGGTGCGGCGTTTTGAGACGTCTCAAAACACTTGTTCATTCGCTGGGACCCATGATCTGGCGTGGGGGGAAGGAAAGGAGAGGAGAGAGGAGGGTGGTGCGGGGCAGGAAACGGGGTGGCGGGATGAGGAGAAGCAGAGAGGTCTTGCCACTGCCGCTGGGACCCATGGTCTGGGGTAGGAGAGAGCACGATGGGGGGGAAGGGCAGGAGTTGGGGGAGTGGGGGAGTGAGGAGAAGCATAGAGGTCCCCCAACAGTCCTACCAGTACTATTGAAATGCACGATCTTGGGTAAGGTGGGGAGGCAAAAAAAGGGTTGGAAGGGGAAGGGCGTAGGGGAAAATAAGCCACTGTTCAGCTAGACCAGGTTTGAATAATGGACACTGGAACGAAGACGAGCAGACAAGTCCTGCCACTGTGATGAGGCGATTTTTGACTCGACTCAAAAACTAGACCAGGTTTGAATAATGGACACTGGAACGAAAAAGAGCAGACAAGTCCTGCCACTGTTACTGGGACTCATTATCTGGGTAAGGGTTGGGGGGAGGAAGGATGAGGGAGAAGGGGAAGGCGCAGAGGGGAAGAGGAAGCGGCAGGGGATGAGGACGGGTAATAAGAGTCCGGCCACTATAATCTGGGGTGAGGAGAAAAGATGGCGTGAGAAGAGGGCATAGGTGGCAGGGAAAGGGGTGGAGGAAAGAGGAGGAGCAGAGATGTCTTGTCGCTGCCACTGGGACCCATTATCGGGTGGAAGCGGGGAAAGGAGAGAGGGTTTGGATTGGTGGGGAGAAGGGGGAAACAGGAGGTCTGCGGAAGGGTGGGTGGGGATGAAACAGAACAGATGGATCTTGCAAGTTGCCAATAGGTAGAATGGAGGCAGCCTTGAAATTGAACTGAGGGGTGCTGACAGAGTTGAACTGAAGTTGAACTGAGGGGTGCCGAGCCGACAGAGTTGAACTGAAGTTGAACTGAGGGGTGCCGAGCCGACAGAGTTGAACTGAAGTTGAACTGGGTGAACTCCCAAATGGCAGGAATCGCATGCAGAGATGGTATCGCGCAAGGGGGGGAAGTAAGCATCAACAGCTGCTCCCCTCACATCACTCCCCTTGCTTGACGCAGAGAGTGGTGGGAGGGAAGGCACGAGGGGTACTGTGGCGTGCAGAGAGTGAGTGCGTCCACCTCCTGCAACACACAATGCCCCCCTCTCTGCACTCACCAGCAGTATTCTCCTCGCTGCACTCACCAGCAGTATTCTCCTCGCTGCACTCACCAGCAGTATTCTCCATGCTGCACTCACCAGCAGTATTCTCCTCGCTGCACTCACCAGCAGTATTCTCCTCGCTGCACTCACCAGCAGTATTCTCCTCGCTGCACTCACCAGCAGTATTCTCCTCGCTGCACTCACCAGCAGTATTCTCCTCGCTGCACTCACCAGCAGTATTCTCCTTGCTGCACTCACCAGCAGTATTCTCCTCGCTGCACTCACCAGCAGTATTCTCCTCGCTGCACTCACCAGCAGTATTCTCCTCGCTGCACTCACCAGGTGTCCCCATCCCCTCGCACCACTCACCAACAGGTGTTCCCCTTGCTTCACGGAGAGTGAAAGGCCAGACAGCAGGCACGAGGCGTACTGTGGCGTGCAGAGAGTGAGTGCGTCCACCTCCAGCAGCACACGGGGGGAGGCGGAGGAGGAGGAGGAAGAGGCAGAGGCAGGCAGCAGGGCGGGGGGGAGAAAGGGAGAAGAAGCCGGGAGAATGACGTTTTCAATGGTGATGAAGCTGTTGAACAGCGACGCTAGGTGCTCCGCCGCTGCCTCAGCTGCTGTTGCCTGCGGCCTTCCCTCCAGCTTCTCCCCCTTGCTGCTCACCACCAACTTCCCGCCTGCAGCCACGGGTGCTGCAGAATCCGTCGCAGGTGACTGTGAGTCCGCGGTGCCAGCAGTTGGCGCAGGAGAAGCAGCAGAGGAGGCTGGCAACGCGGCTGGCTTGCTCTGGTCATCCAGCACCTCCTGAAACTCGCCTGGGGGGAGAAGGGAGAGGGAGTGGGGAGAGGGAGAGGGAAACGATGGGAAGAGGAGAGGGGAAGGGGAGCGAAGGCAGGGGGGGAGAGAGAGGCAGAGGCAGGTGGGAGCGCGGCTGGCTTGCTCTGTCTGGCCATCCAGCACCTTTTGAAACTCGCCAGGGGGGAGAGGGGGAGAGGTGAGGGAGAGGGAAGAGTGAGAGTGGGGAAGAGTAAACAAGGAAAGTAAGAGGGGAGGAAGAGAGTTTAGGACGAAGTAGAGGCAGTTGGTAGCACGGCTGGCTTGATCTGGTCATCCAGGGGCGAGCAGAGAGAGGGGGGGAAAGTGTGAGGAGATAGTGAGAGCGGAGGAAGAACCACATGTGCGTGCTTTAACATGCAGTCAGGGGGTGAGTGGGGAAGAAAAAAATAGAGGGGAAAGGGGAGGGAAGCGCCTTGGTGAGCTAACAAGAAGCTGAGAGTGAGGCCGAGACACTGAGAAACTGAGGGGACATTTGGTGAGTACGCAAGACTGACAGAAGAAAAGCTTAACGTTCTGTGTAAGAGGGACGTTTTTGGGAATTCCCAAGAGCAGCTCAACTTGAGCAGCCGATTAAGTCTATGGCTCTGACAGCATGTCAGGCGAAGTGTGGGAGTGGGAAGTAAGAATTAAGAGTTCGAGAGCAATGAGCAAAGGAAAAGCTAAGTGTGACGCCACTAGAGAGAGTGACTGAAGCGAGTGAGTGAATGGAGGGGCATTCAGATTGAAAACTATGGATCCATCATGGAGCGAGGAGACAATTACTGCCGGCCATGAATGAGGCGGAATGAGATTGCTTGCGCACGCATGCACATGCGGGGCATGGTCCTTCCACCAGTCAAACGGCCAGCAGCATGTCTTCCGGGTCAGATCATCTTTGCGACTGCTCCACATGCGCCCCTCCTTCCCCATCCACTTGACCCCACCCACCTCGTCACATGTCACACAGCACAGCACAGCACAGCACCGAGAGAGCTCTCAAAACCCAGCGCTCTCGAACCGTGCGACAGCCACATGTGGGCCTCGAACTGTGCGAGTGGTATTCACCACATTTACACACAGCGACAGCCAGTGAGGTCAGACAGGGGGTTGCCAGCCACTTACTAGTGGGCCACACTATCTCCCCTTACAGATGCATGACTTTCAGTGCAGTGCAGGAATCACACAAGACGTACTCGGCTTTTCAAACAATAGCAGAGAGCTGTGAGAGCGTTTAAAACAGGAAGATTAGGTCCCTGAGGGTGTGGTTGAAGGCGGGGAATGACTGGTTGCTCACGCTGAACTCACTCCCTCCTCCCAGGCACCTCACCTCAACAGACACGTGTCAAGTCACATACATAGCCATTCCACAATAGCGGAGAACTGCAAGAGAGCTTGGAAGAGGAAGACGATGATGTGAAATCCTCCAAGCACGTGGCCGAAGGCGGAGAAGGACTGATTGCTCACGCCAAACTCAATCTCCCTCTCCCGTTACAAGCACGTTCTATATACAGTGTGGAGCATGCTCGTCACAGGTCACGTACCCAGCCGTTCCACAGTGGCAGAGAACTGTGAGAGCGCTTGGAACTGAAAGACGATGATGGAAAAGTCCCCGAGAACGTGGTTGAAGGCAGAGAAGGACTGGTTGATCACGCCGAACTCAATCTCCCCACGGAAGTAGAGTGGCGCCACCACGGCTGCTGGCAGCAGCTGGATGAGATAGCGGTAGTTGCTGGTGAAGAAATCGAGGTTGCGACCGACTACCAGCAGCCGCTGTGAGGGGGAGAACGGGGACGGGGGGGGCGGGGGGGGAGGGGGGGGGGGAAGGAGACATGCTGGTTAGGTGGTGAGCTGGCAGCGGCTGGATGAGGTAGCGGTAGCTGCTGGTGAAGAAACCGAGGTTGCGCTCTACCACTAGATGATGCCGTAGGGGTGAGAGGGGATGAGAGGAGCGGGATGAGAAGCAAAGATGGCTCAGGGCGATAACTTGCAAGCGTCCGATGCCGTAGACTGGTCTTGTGACATTCTCAGCGAGCAGCAAACCTACTTAGGCTTAAAGCAAAAGAAAGACAGTAAAATCCTTCTGTAAAACTTAGATCTCAACAATCCGAGCTCAAGAACTTGCAAAGATGGCTCAGGACGATAACTTGCAAACGTCCGATGCCGTAGACTCGCGGAGGGGAGAGGGGGAACGGAAGAGGGTGGAGCAGGAGGGAAAAGGGGTGGGGGGGATAAAGGAAGCATCATCAGCTCAGAATAGTCTAATGGCCGTCCATGCTTAACGGCCACTGCACACCCACAGGGCGCACCAACCAACCACAGCACACACGCGAGAAATGTCGGAAGCGTTGCGTAGCAGCAAGCGTGTTCTGAGACAGCTCAGTCACGCCGTTCCACGCACATAGCAGCCACTGAACACATCAATGAGCTCATTGCATGTGGCTGGTACGTGCTGTGCCACTGCATGAGCCACTGCACGCATCAATGAGCCACTGCACGCATCAATGAGCCACTGCACGCATCAATGAGCCACTGCACGCATCAATGAGCCACTGCACGCATCAATGAGCCACTGCACGCATCAATGAGCCACTGCACGCATCAATGAGCCACTGCACGCATCAATGAGCCACTGCACGCATCAATGAGCCACTGCACGCATCAATGAGCCACTGCACGCATCAATGAGCCACTGCACGCATCAATGAGCCACTGCACGCATGCATGAGCGCACGTGCAGTGTAGTTGGCAAATGACTGGCCGAAGCGTTGCAGCAATAGGTGCGTCTCACTCCTTCAGCAGCTGGCATTTTGTTCAATGCCCTTCCATGGCTTACAACCACCGCAAGCATCATGCACCTACAGGCACACACATGAACATGTGAACACGCATGTATGAGCGCACTCACAGAGTAGTTGGCAAAGGACTGGCGGAAGAGCTGCAGCAGCAGGCGCGTCATGAGTCGATTCAGGGCATGCCCTTGCACGCACTTAACAGCCACAGCAAGCACGCCTATCCGCTCACTCACAGAGTAGTTGGCAAAGGACTGGCGGAAGCGCTGCAGCAGCAGGCGCGTCTCGCTGCGCTCCCCGCCGTAAAAGGCGATGCTCTCGGCGTTCTCCCGTGCTCGCACCAGCCCGTACCGGAAGTCCGCCTCCTTCTTCTCCTGCAGGAAGTTGAGCGCCACTAGCTCCTGTGGGCGAAGACAGGAGAGGAGGGTTGGCAGGGAGAGCAGAGGCAGGATCAAAATGTGCGTGTTCCAAGAGGCAGAGTAGTCCAGCTCCTTCTTCTCCTGCAGGAAATTGAGCGCCACTAGCTCCTGTGTGTGTGAAGGGGGAACAGGGGGAGGAGAGACAGGGTGAAAGGAGGGGTGGAAGGGAGAGGAGGGAGGGGTGGATGGGGTAGGTGAGGGAGGGTTAGAATGCAATGCTCTCTTCACATTCTCCCGTGCGCGCACCAGCCCGTACCGTAAGTCCGCGTCCTTATCCTCGTCCTGCAGGAAGTTGAGCCCACTAGCTCCCGAGGGCGAGGATGGGCATAGCGGAGGAGAGGACGGTCATTAGGGGCGTGGTCTAGGCAACAAAGGATCCGCCTCCTTCTCCTGAAGGAAGCTGAGTCCCTGAGCAAGATGGAGCAGAGCAAGATGGAGCAAAGCAAGACGGAGCAGAGGATGCCGGAGAAGGAGATGAGATTCACCACTGCGTTTACGAGCAGCCTGCCTTGGTGTTCTACCACTCACCCTGCCCAGGTACACACTAATGGCCGTTCCTCCAAGAGAATACGCCAGTAGAACAGCGAAGAGCGCGAGTAGATGGAGTAGAGCATGTCGGAGAAGGAGATGAGATCCACCAGCGCGTTCTATCCATCCCGGTACACACCCCCATCACCGCCCTAACAGCAGCACTCACCCTGCCCAGATAGACACTGATGGCTGTGCCTCCAAGGGAATACGCCAGCAGCACGGCGAAGAGCGGCGGGTAGATGGAGTAGAGCATGCCGGAGAAGGAGATGAGATCCACCAATGCATTGACGAGCACACCTATCAGTACCCACCCAGTGGTACTCACTCACCCTGCCTAAATACACGCTGATGGCTGTCCCTCCTAGAGAATAGGCGAGCAGCACGGCGAAGAGCGGCGGGTAGATGGAGTAGAGGATGCCGGAGAAGGAGATGAGATCCACGATGGCGTTGACGAGCGCGAGGGAGAAGGTGAGCGACGTGGTGGTGAAGTCGTCAACATCATCGTTGATTCGCTGATCTGGGTTGTCTATTAAGGACTGGGGACAAAGGGGTGTGCAGAGGAAAGAAGCGAAGGTGAGGTGGAGAAGGCAGGGGGGGTGGTGGTGAAGTCGTCAACATCATCGTTGATTCGCTGATCTGGGTTGTCTATTAAGGACTGGGGACAAAGGGGTGTGCAGAGGAAAGAAGCGAAGGTGAGGTGGAGAAGGCGGGGGGGGTGGTGGTGAAGTCGTCAACATCGTCGTTGATTTGCTGATCTGGGTAGTCTATGAGCGACTGGGAGACAAGTTGAAACCGGGGAGAGTGACAAAATGGGGAATGGTAGGAATGGGCGAGGGAGAAGGTGAGTGACGTGGTTGTGAAGTCGTCCACGCCCGCGTTGATGCACTGGTTAGGGTTGTCTATGAGCGACTGGGGACAGGGAGGGGAGTGGGCGAAGGGGGGATGAAGTGGAGAGGGACGCAGGAAAAGACAGAAGTGAGTGAGGCGGTGGTGAGATCGTTCACGTCCTCGTTGATTTGCTGACCCGGGTTGCTATTAGGGACTGTGGGCAAAGAGCGTAGAGGAGGGGGGTACAGGGAGTAGAGGGAGAAGGTGAGCAAGGTGGTGGTGAATTCGTCAACGTCCTCGTTGATGCTCTGGTCTGGTCTGGGTTGTCTATCACGGACTATGGGTGACGAGAGAGAGAGTGAGAACGGAGAGGTATAGAGGAGAAAAAAAGGATCGAGGCACTGCAGGGAGGGTAGGAACAAAATGCCACCCGAATCAAGAGGCCTGCATCCACCCCTGTCTCGCTGCAACGGCGACGGCCCACCCAGAGGTGGTGCTCCTCGCGTACGCAGATGACATCACCCTGCTAGGCGAGACTGCGAGCTGCACGGCGGCCTTCAACCACCTCACGGAAGCACTTCTCAGCCACGGCCTGTCCCACAACCCCGCGAAATGCGAAGCATGGTCCGCCACAGCCCTGGAGCCCGCCGCTCTGCCCCACGGCGTCACTATCTCCCGGGACGGGATCCGCGTCTTGGGCAGCCCGATTGGGCCCCCCGCCGGCTGCGCTGCCCGAGTGCGGGAACGCCTTAAAGCTGCTGCTGAACCGCTCCCGCTCCTCTCCCAGATGGACCCGCAACTCTGCCTGCTCCTACTTACCCGCTGCGTGAGCCGCCGCGCTTCGTTCATGGTCAGAGCCACGCCGCTTGAAGCCCTACCGCTGAGGGAATGGTCCGCCTGGGGGGAAGATCTGTTCCATACCTACCTTGCCGCAGCACACACAGAAATCCCCAGAGCCCGGGTCGAGAGGGAGAGGATTTGGCACCAGGCCGCCCTGCCCGCGTCCCTGGGAGGCCTGGGCATCACCAACCCTGCAGTGGAGGGGGGACATGCCTACCTGGCTGCAGTCACTGCTGCTGCACACCTGCTGCGAACCTTCGGCGACGCGGCAAACCCTGCTCTCACTGGACTGCTGCCGCTAATGGACTCCAACGAGGAATCTACGTCCCTCCTCCCAAGGCGCCTTGCTGCCCTAGAAGCCGTGCTGCCTCCTGAGGGGATCGAGGCCCTCCAAGTGGGGAGACAGAGACCGGACGGGCCAAAGCTCCAACAGTCGCTCTCCCTCGCGGTTCAAACTGCAAGGTTCATGCAACTGCTCGAGAGCTCGCGGGAGATGGAGCTCAACCCACTGTTCGGACACACGCAGCGGCTGCAGTCCCTCTTGGGCCCCGGCGCAGGGGACTGGCTGCTCGCCGTCCCGCTGATCTCCTCCCTCCGCCTCGGGCCCTCTCAGTTCTCCACAGCGGCCTCCTTCCGCTTAGGCCTCCCCCTACCTGTGCCAAGGCGCTGCGACTGCAGATACCGCACCACATTCCCCGACGACCGCCTACCGAACCATTTGATGCGGTGCGAGAAAGGGGGGGGGAGAATTGCAACCCACAATGCCCTTCGGGACGAGTGCGCAAAGATAGCTGCGGAAGCGGGCTTCACCGTGCATAAGGAGACAACGGCTTACTCACCGGTCGAAAACCTCAAAGCGGATATCTCTATCCGCCATCCCGACACCGGTGAAGTGTGGATCTGTGACATCACGGTCACGGACCCCGTCTCCCACCAGGATGAATACGCCCGTAAAGCTCCCGGTTGGGCTGCTAGAATGCAGGCGGACAAGAAGGCAAGCAAATACGCCAGGCGGAGCGCTTGGGTGGGCTTTTACGCCTTGGCGGTTGAGACCTACGGTTACCCCTCGAGTGGGGTCCTGGAATTCCTTCGCAGCTGCGCGGAGTTAGCGGCCATGCGGCGGTTCAACGCCACCCCCAAGTCGAGGGAATGCGCCAAGCTACTCACCGAGTACCGGCAGCGGTGGAGTGTGACCCTGCAGAGAGCGCAAGCCACTGCCCTCAGGGATAAGACCCATGAGGCCCTCACGGCGGATGCGCTCGGCCTGCAGGGCCCGTTTACTCCAATGAGTGAAGGGCAGCTGTATCAGTTGATAGAAAACCCCTCCGGCCATTAGGGCCGGGCGGGGAGGGGGGGGCTGGGGCTGGGATAGTGCGGGGTTAGCTGCTGTTTTGCTGTAGCCTTGCCGTGAGATTGCTGTAGCCTTACCATGTGTGTACCTTGCTGACATTAATACCAAGGCCCGTTCGAGAGACGGAGGCGGGTAAGCGGGGGGAGGGGGGAAGGGAGGTAGGGGAGGAGAGTGAGAACGGAGAGGTATAGAGGAGAAAAAAAGGATCGAGGCACTGCAGGGAGGGTAGGAACAAAATGCCACCCGAATCAAGAGGCCTGAAGTGTAACCAGTTGTGACTGTAACCAGCTGTGACTGTAACCAGCTGTGACTGTAACCAGCTGTGACTGTAACCAGCGACGATTGTGTCCATCAGTGATCATACCCATTCACTACTGGATGTTGTTCAAGACGTGGTGGCTGGATTCAAGTGCTTGTTCCTGAATCTTACCCAATGTGAGTGTGATGTGACAGGTCTGAATATAACCACATGATAGAAGGGGTGCACCCTGACTGCGACTGGATGTCGTAGAAGTCAGGTGCGGTGCTGGACTGTAAGTACGTGTTCCGGACAATAATCACATACGTTAGTGTAGCTAAATTTAATTGTAGCCACATGATACCTGCGACTGGATGTTGTAGAAGGTGCGGTGCTGGAAGTACTTGTTGAGCAGATCCGTTGTCATCCACGCCCGCCACCTCAGCGCCAGCGTGTCACGCAGGTAGTCCCGGAACACAAACACCTGTGGGGGGAGATGGGCGAGAGGAGGAGAGGAGGGGTATGGTGGTGGGACGGAGTGGGGAGGAGTATGCACAACGAGTATGAAGTGGTGCAGGAACGGAATGCTTGTGCTCCATGTAAAGCAAAGCAAGGGACGGTGTGACACCTGGGGCGTGATGATTCCTAGAGCGCCTTAGAGACAGGTTGACATTTGAGCTCAGTGGAAAGGGAGGGTTCCCGGTGCGACATGTGGGATGGGTGCTTGCGAGTGCAGAAAGAAGGACTCTAATATAGTCCCTCCACACAACACCCTCCATCGTGCTCTCTCTCTCTCAACCACCCCTCTATCGCTCACTCACTCAATCATCTACCCACACCACAGCCCCTTTGTTCCACCTACCACCACAGCCCCACTTTTCCACCTACCACCACACCCCCTTTGCACTATCCCACTACCGGCACACCCCCCTGCTGCACTGCACCTACCGGCACACCCCCCACAGTGGCTCCGAGAAACCACAAGAGCTGCCGCAGGAAGGCCTCCTCGTCCTTGCCTGGTGGATGGGAGGGGGGGGAACGAGGCAATACGAGGGAAGGGGGAGGGGAGCGGAAGGGGAGGGGGGGAACGAGGCAATACGAGGGAAGGGGGAGGGGAGCGGAAGGGGAGGGGGAGGAGCAAGCATGAGGACCACACCGACTGCTGCAACAAGGCCTCACCGTCCTTGCCTGGTGGGGTGGGGTAAGGAAGGGAGCAAGGTGCGATAAGGAAGGGGACAACATAGAGGGAAAGAGAGAGAGGGAGAGTGCGACAGGGAAATCAGGGAGGGCTAGTGGCAGAAAGAGGGAAGAAAGAAGCTTTGGTGGTAGTCAGGGATGAAGTTGGCAGGGCAAGTCTGTACTCGCTACAGCACTTTATCAGTCGATGTGCAACGACACGAAGATCAAATACTCGCTATAGAATTGTAGAAATATTGGTAACAGGAAGTTAAAGGCACATACTCGCTATAGCGTTGTAGAATTCTATATATAATAAGGTGAAGGGCACGGAGACGCCAGTGCAGCCCAGCGCAAAGAGCACATACTCGCTATAGCGTTGTAAAAGTCCCGATATAAGAAGTTGAAAAGCACGGAGACGCCAGTGCAGCCCAGCGCGAACACAAACACCGCAGCTAGCCGCAGCCGTGCCTGGCCCTTGTCCTCCGACGACCAATAGGGTGCCGCCACGCGGACGAACTGCTTCAGCAGCGTGCCCAGCTGGGTGGCTTGTCTCTGCGATTGGTGGGGGCAACACGTGGCAGATAATGGAATCGTGAGGGGTGAGCCTGGTTCCGAAGCTCAATACTGTACGTGATTATGACCATCCTTGTGTGGCTCATGTGCGTGCTAATTACTATAATTTCATTTCTCATAACTCCGATTACAGTTACCTCATTTTCTGCTGGTGGAGGTGGGTCGTTGCTCTTCCTCCCCGCCATCTCCGACGCAATCATTGCGTCGACCGCAGGATCGAACGGGATGTCCAAATCGGACGGCCGGGATCTAGGTGCCGGATTCGGCGAACCGGGACTCCTTCCCGGGACTTGCAGAGCATCGTTGTCTCGGCTAGCACCAGTGGAAGCAGATTCGCTAGAAGCCGACTCGTTTGAAGCAGAATTGTCACTACCCTGCGATTTGGCTCTAACCGCGACATTCCTACGTACTGGTCGGTGCCAAATCCCTCCGGATCCCCCCTCCTCACCTAATCTTTGAACCTTCTGAGCAAAGGGAAGTGCAGAAAATAACCCATTTCGACGGATGCTCGGTGAAAGCCCTCGCGAATGGCGGAAACTTCGTTTCGGTTGGGGCGAGGACTGCTGCTGTGACTGGCGGAGCGCAGCGCGCGGACAGCCGCACAGTCCATTTCCGAGGGATGGAGGAATCGACGGAAGCCGGCAAAGCGGTACGGTTCGGTGCGGTGTGGTGAACGCGCGGAGCGGCGCTGAGGTTGCAGCTGACATGCTTGAGCGCGAAGCAGTAAGGAAAGGTGTCGCGCGCATGCCGCGCTTAAGTTTGATACCCGAGGCTGCTATACAGACTGGTTACAGGCTTTGTTTGAGTTGAATAATGGCAGGTCCTTAAGAGCCTAAGATCAGGTCTTGTTTATATTTATGAGCACTTGAGGGAGATGAGAAAGACATGAAAATGAAATTCCAGTCAGCTCCTGAACTTCATCCGCCTTGTCTCTCCAGAGGGAAGCGTGGCAGATTATAATGACGGAGGAAATTGCCGTGTCGTCTTACGGTTTATGTCCCATAATCAAAATAAGATACGAACCCACTAAGATGCTAGTCACCATCACTGAACACGAGCAGCTGCTGCGCATCCTAGACATGGCGGTTGTACCATCAGGGAACGGGATTCTGGCCAGCTGCTTGATGGTCGGAAGAATGTTCCACGCGTAGAAGGGCGGAAGAGAGGGTGCGTGCGTGTCCATCTGGGAAATCCCACACTCTTGGGAACATACAAGCCGTGCGAAGCGGACGAGATCAACAAGGTAACCAGACATTCACGTAACTTCAAGGACTCCTCTCGCTGGTTAGACGAGAGTCACGAGAATCATGTTTCTTCAAGGAGGGTTTTCGTCAGGATTCGCATGTAGGAACTCTCTGGTGATGGTTATAGTTGACGTAAGGACTGACGTGGCGCGATATTTGCTTCAAGACTGTCGAATCACATCACAAGACAGATTCACGGCCCAGAGCCTATTTCGTAACATCGCGTCAAAACACCAGTCTAATGAAAACAGATCTACTATTACATTTCAACACAAAATACATAGGCCTACAGTACATCTTGCTTAGACGATATCCACATCTTCCTCCTCTTCCTTACCCTCGCCCACTTCGCCACCTACATCAATATCCATCCTAGCTAACCCTCCATTAGCCATTGCTTGTACTTTTCCGGCATCACCTAGACCCCCACTTTCCCTGTGCCCTTGATTCCCTGCCAGTGCCAGACCATCCTGCGGCCCTCGCGCCAGCACCACACCATTATTCTGCTGAGAGTTGTCAGCTCCTGCACCGCCATTTCCCACTGTTGCAGCAGCTGCCGGTGGTGGCATCTCTGCTCCCGCTGCTTCTGCTAAAGCTGCTGTTGCTGTTGCTGTCGCTGCAGGTGCTGCCGGTGTTGATGCCACTCGTGCTGGTGTAGCAGTAGCCACTGCTTCTCTCGAAGCCCCTGCAGCCACCCCAGCACCACCTCCCCCTGCTACATCTCCCCTTGTTGCCACTAATCCCCCTACTCCTCCTCCTGCTGCCGCCCCTCCTCTTGACCCCCCATCAGCTGGTGTCACAGTAGCTGCTGTCGGCGGTGTTACAGCCGTAGATGTAACCGCGCCTGTCAAAGTTCCGTCGTGAGATGTAACCACAGTCAGTGCACCATCACTCACTGCCCCACCAACAGCACCACCCGCTGCAGCAGTATTAGCACCAGCAGCTGTGGCACTGGCAGCGGCAGCGGTGGCACTGGCAGCGGCAGCGGTGGCTGCTGCAGCAGCAGAAGTTCTCCGGCGGTGGGGGTCGGGAACGGTGATGGTGTGGGTGCCGGTTTCCGAAGAGAAGGTGAGATGCGGTGGAGGCGGCGGGGGCTGGCGGGATGACCGTGTGCCTGCTTGCCTTCTGTTCTCGGGGGGGGGGAAAGGGGTGAGAGGAAAGGAAAGGTTTGAGAGGAAGTGGGGTGGGTGAGGGGTGGTGGTAGGGGAAGGATGATTTGCGGTGGAGGTAGCGGGGGCAGGCAGGAGGACCGTGTACCTGCTTGTCTTTTGGGCTTGGACGGGGGGGGGGGAGAGAGGGGTGGGGGGGAAAGGAAGTGGGCTGAGGGGGGGTGAGATTGGGAGAGGGGCTGGGGATTGAGGGGCAAAGGTGGGAATCGAGGACGATACGAGGGGGGAGTGGGTGGGGAAGGATGAGAGATGAGGCGTTGAGAGGGAGGGGTGAGACACATCACTCACTGGGCTTGCCAAGACAGAGCAGCTTGAGCAAAGGAAGGGCCGTCAGCCTGTGCAAGGGGTAACCAGCCACAGTGGCGCGACGGCAGTAGCCGAGGGGGAAAACGAGAGGAGCAGCACTAATTCCGCTATCCCAATCTCAAACTTCTAGCCCAGGAAAGGCGCGTGTTACTTACTGTGCCTGGCGTGCAAGGGCAGCTCGAGCAAATGAGGGGTCGTAGGAGAAGAGCAGCCCGTGCAGGGGACGACCGGCAACAGTGGCCCGCGCGGGAAGTAGCCAAGGTAGAAGACGCGAGGACCACTTATCATGGTATCACTCACTGGGCCTGGCGTGCGAGGGCAGCTTGAGCAAATGAAGGGTCGTAGGAGAAGAGCAGCCCGTGCAGTGGTCTACCGGCGACGGTGGCGCGCAGGCAGTAGCCGAGGTGGAAGACGTCGACTATCTGCGCCTCAAACGGCACCTCCCTGCCCGCCGGCGCTATCAGGTCCGCTGGGTGCAGCCCGGGCGGCAAGGCTGGTGAGACTTGTGGGACTGGAAGGGAGGAACATGGAGACAGGATGTGGGGGAAAGAGAGGACATGTGGTGGGGGAAAATGCGGGGCGTGATTGCAGGAAGTTGGGAGCATAAGCACATGTTCAGAAACCCAGGAGGTAGGCACGAAAGAGTCATCCCAGACCATGAAATCCACCTCCCTTCATTGGACCATGAATGCACTGAGAGCTGCATGACATCCCATCCCATCCCATCCCATCCCATCCCATCCCATCCCATCCCATCCCATCCCATCCCATCCCATCCCATCCCATCCCTCCCCATCCCATCCCATCCCACCCCACCCCATCCCATCCCACCCCATCCTATCCCAACCCATCCCATCCCATCCCACCCCATCCCATCCCACCCCATCCCATCCCATCCTACCCCATCCCATCCCACCCCATCCCATCCCATCCCATCCCATCCCATCCCATCCCATCCCATCCCATCCCATCCCATCCCATCCCATCCCATCCCATCCAATCCCATCCCATCCCATCCCATCCCATCCCATCCCATCCCATCCCATCCCATCCCATCCCATCCCATCCCATCCCATCCCATCCCATCCCATCCCATCCCATCCCATCCCATCCCATCCCATCCCATCCCATCCCATCCCATCCAATCCCATCCCATCCCATCCCATCCCATCCCATCCCATCCCATCCCATCCCATCCCATCCCATCGCATCCAATCCCATCCCATCCCATCCCATCTCATACCTCGCATGCGTCTGGCAGGGGGCCTATACCCATCGTCATCATCCATGCCGCCCGCCTCATACACACCCTCAGCGCCCCGGCCCCACACGCCCTCTCCACTCTCCCCCCTCTTGCCGCGCATGCCCATGGGCGTCCCTCCGGCCCCCATGCCCACGCCAGCGTCCATGGCCATGCGACCATCCATGCCCATGCGAGCATCCATGGGCATGGGCATGGAGTCGAAGGACCGCCGCCGCACGCGCGGCCGGGGGAACTCCACTGCATGCGACCCGAAATCTGCGAAGGGCGTGGGGGGGGGGAGGGAGGGGGGGAACAGCACACAGACACACAAGGGGCGGCAGACTACTGTGAGAGGAGAGGAGTATCAGAGGAAGCAAGTACGCCCTCCCTGTAACCCCTCCCAGCCGCACCCGGGTGCGCACGCTTATGGGTGTGCCCCCGCCCTCTACAGCCATGCGAGGGTCCATGCCCATGCGTGCGTCCATGGGCATGGGCATGGAGTCAAAGGGCCGTCGCCGCACGTGCGGCCGGGGGAACTCCACTGCATGCGACCCGAAATCTGGGGGTGGGCGGGGGGGAAAGGTGCGGGAGGAAGAGTAGCGGGCGCAAAGGGAGAGAGGAGGGCGGGCAGGCTACCATGTGAGGATTGAGAGAAGGTGTTGACGCCGTCCTTATACCTGTATGCAAGCTATACCTGTGCGTGAGAAATAAACATCGTCCAGTCCCTCCAAGCCATGGTTGCAGCCCCCCAAGAGCACAAGTTTGCCCGACATAAGGTCCAGCAGGTCAGCTCTAAGGACTGAATTGATTCCCCTACAGCATCCGGCTACCTGTGTGGAGGAAATAAGCATCTTCCGGAATCCAGAGCCTCCAGGTCGTCGTTACCGCCCCCGAAGAGCATCATTTTGCCCGACACTGTACGATCCAGCAGGTCAGCCCTAAACACACGCGTCCCTGTGTGCTTACTGTATCGCACCTGTGAGCGCCCGTACCTGAATGCAAGAAATAAGCATCTTCCAGCGCTTCCAAATCGTCGTTGCAGCCCCCAAAGAGCATCATTTTTCCCGACACTGTGTCCAGCAGGTCAGCACTAAGCGCACGCTTCCTTGTGTGTATGCTGCTGCCTCTCACCTGTATGCAGGAAGTAGGCATCTTCTAGAGCCTCCAAATCGTCGTTGCAACCCCCAAAGAGCATCATCTTGCCCGACACTGTGTCCAGCAGGTCGGCTGACAGGGAGAAGCGCCGTGAAGGCACGTCTCCTGTGGGCGTGTACTGCTGCCAGTGCTCCGATGCTGGCGGAGGGTAAAAAGGAGCGCAGCGGGGGAGGGATGGAAGGGAGGAAGAAACGGAATGGGCAATGGTGGATGATTGGAGTGAAGAGACCCCTGTGAACGTGTACTGCTGCCAGTGCTCCGATGCTGGCGGAGGGTAAAAAGGAGCACAGGGGGGGAGGGATGGAAGGGAGGAAGAAACGGAATGGGCAATGGTGGATGATTGGAGTGAAGAGACCCCTGTGAACGTGTACTGCTGCCAGTGCTCCGATGGCGGAGGAGACGCGGGCAGGGAGGAGGAATGGGGTGTATTGGAGTGAAAATACATCCAGCCGAATGAAGTGGGATGGTGACAAGACAAGGCATGAGAGCTGCAGATGAGAAGAGGAGAACAAGCAAGCAAAAAAGCAGGGAGCGGGCGGGAAGGGGGAGGTGACTGGATTACATGACGTGCGTATTCACAAGACTAACCAATTGATCAAGCGAAAAGGGGGCCCACTACTGTTGTTGCTACTGTGACAAGCAAGCAGATAAGCAACCGTGCCGAGCATACAAGATAGAAGGCGAGCATACAGAGGTCGAGCACATGCAGGTCGTTGAAGAGGCGGCGCTCATCCGTGAAGCCCCCAAACACCACCATGTAGCGCCCTGCTGTCACCGCCACATGCCCCGCTCGTGGTAGAGGCTTCTGCCCCCTCGCCCTCACCTCCCTCCACACCAGCGAGCCTAGGAAGGGTAGGGAGAGGAGGGGGGAAAGCGATTGTGCTAAACTGACTGTGAAGCCCCCAAACACCACCATGTAGCGCCCTGCTGTCACCGCCACATGCACTGCTTGCATGGGGAAAGGGTTTCTGTCCCCTCGCCCTCACCTCCCTCTCTCCACACCACAAGAGGGGGTAAGGAGGGGAAAACGAGATTGTGGTACACTGGATTGAGAGTCAGCAGTGCTGGCTCCAAACACCAACATGCATTGCCTGCCCTGCTGTCACATCCCCCCGTTCAGGGCAAAGGCTTCTGTCCCCTCGCCCTCACCTCCCTCCCTACCAACGAGCCTGGAAGACAGCGTGGCATGGAAAGCGACCAAGGGCATAGAGATGAACGCTGGAGTCAAAGGACGACACTCATTCATTTGTTGCCTTGCCTTACTTCCACTCACGGGCCAATGAAACACCAAGTGGTCTCCAGGGCTGATTGACGCTGAGGACAAGACACACTGATGATGTCAAGGGCAATGCCTCGCTGATGTGATGTGGAGGACGAACATCCACTGGTGTCAGTCAGACCCAGTCCCTTCATCCCTTCATCCCTTCATCCCATCATCCCATCATCCCATCATCCCTTCATCCCATCATCCCATCATCCCATCATCCCATCATCCCTTCATCCCTTCATCCACTCACTGGTGTCGAGCACAAAGACGTCACTGAGGTAGCAGTTGCGCCGAACACGATCAGCTGGTTTCCCCACTCACTCATGTGAAGGGCCAGCACAGCACGTGCTGGTATCAAGGCAAGGCACTGAGGCACTCACTGGTGTCGAGCACAAAGACGTCACTGAGGTAGCAGTTGCGCGAGTCCTCCCCGCCAAACACAATCAGCTGGTTGCCCCACGCGCAGCAGCTGTGGCTGTCCCTCGGTGATGGCGCTGTGCCTGTTGTTGCCACCCTCGCCCACCGCATCGTGTCTGCACGGCTCACATGCAAGCACATGCAAGCACATGCAAAGTACATGCACAAACACACACGTGCACGATATATTCACCAACACACGGAAACACATGCACACGCACAAGCACACGCTAAACACACACACACACAGACACATGAACGCACACAACATGGAAGAAAGAGACTGATCGAACTCACACCACACCATCGTAAGAAGAGAAAGCTTGAGCTGATAAGTCTTACACTCCAGCACCAAACACGACATAACTACGCACCAAGCCTTCCACTCGCACTCCTGTGTTTCAGTTGTGTCCGGCCACACTATCAGTCAGTCAGCCGCTGTGCTGACCTGCACTCACCAGGGTTGAACACATGAACGTCGTTGTAATACGTCTCGTCCACTGTCCCCCCCTCGCCCGCCTTGCCACACCACATCACCCGAACACATACACCAGCCCCTCCACCCGTGCTGCTGCATGCCCCTTCCATGCAGCCGCCCTATCTCATCTCAGCCCTCCTGACCTGCACTCACCAGGGTTGAACACATGCACGTCGTTGTAATACGTCTCGTCCACCATACCCCCCTCGCCCGCCTTGCCACACCCCCCGAACACGTACACCAGCCCCTCCACCCGCGCAGCTGCATGCCCCTCTCGCGCTGCTGGCACGTCCCCCTGCGCCGCCAGCCGTGTCCACGTGTTGGTTGCTGCGAGGGAGGGGGGTGAGGGGGGAAGGGGGAACGGGGGAAGGGGGTGAGAACGGGACATCTTAAGGCCCCTCGCGTGCTGCTGGCACGTCCCCCTGCGCCGCTAGCCGCGACCACGTGTTGGTTGCTGCGAGGGATGAGAGGGGGAAGGGGCGGGGACAGGGGAACGGGGGGCGGGCGATGGGAGGAAAAAGGTGCACATGAATTAAGGGGGGTCGGACGACGGAGAGAGGGACAGGGCTGCAAGGATGACGGGATTGAAGCAGACGGGAAACTGCAGTACAAGCAAAATGGATGTGCATGACACACAGAAGTGCGGCTGCGCTTGAAATGGTTTGGAAATGGCCTGAGATTGATTGCCCTTGGATTGCCCTGACAATTTTCTTGGAACTTCTCTTGACCGTCTATCCATGCGTATACACTCGACGGCCCGGCATTTGGCGCAGAGACAAGGGTATCTCAGGTGTCAACCATGCCGACGACGTTGCGCCCTAACGATGGCCGTGCCAGCAGAGGAATTTGTTGCCATCAAGTCGCCAAGGAGTGGCACTCACAGGTGTCGAGCATGTAGAGGTCGTTGAGCCCCGACGACCCATCCGAGCCCGGCTCACCCGTGCCACTGAAGACGAACAGCCTGCTGCCCACCAATGTGCTCGTGTGGCTGTCCGTACAGAGCCGCCACATTTGTCGCCATCAAATCGCCAACAAGTCGCCAAGGAGTGGCACTCACAGGTATCGAGCATGTAAAGGTCGTTGAGCCCCGACGACCCATCCGTGCCACCGAAGACGAACAGCCTGCTGCCCACCACCGTGCTCGTGTGGCTGTCGCGCGGCGACGGCGGCGTGCCCTTGATGTTTGGCTTGCTCCACGCGTCCTTGGCTGGACAGAATCAAGGGTGGATGGAGGGAATGGCAAGAGGGAGTGAACGATGGGTGTTGAGCCGGCTCATAACTGTCGCGAGGCGACGGCGGCGTGCCCTTGATGTTCGGCTTGCTCCACGCGTCCTTGGCCGCGAGTCCCGGACAGAAAGGGAAGGGGAAAAGGGGAGCGGGAGGGAATGGCGAGCATGATTGACGCGTGTTGAGACGCCTCAAAACTCTTGCGACGCAAAGGCAGAGAACCCTTTATCTTCCGCTTGCTCCACGCTAGAGAATACCAAAAGGCCATGACAGACAGACATAGCCACCAGCCCGGCCGCGACTGTCACGGAGATTTCGAAAGGGAAAGGGAACAGGGAAATACCACGCAGGAGCACGAAGTAACGCGGTTGACTCGACAACGCATACTACGAGAGGAAGTTGGGCCGACCTTGGAACAGCAAATGTCGCCGAGGGAAAACGTCTATATGAGGCAGTTTATACCGTCGCGTGGCCTAAAGCACGGGGTCATGAACGAACACAAAACGTCTGCGAAAAGGCCAGGAAACACTTTGTCATGATCTCGTCGTAACACCTGAGTCCGAAGTCCCGCATTGTTACGATCCTGCCTCTGCATTCCCGCATTGCCACGATCCGGTTAACGCCTCTGCATTTCCGCATTGTCACGATCCAGTTAACGCCTCTGCATTCCCGCATCCTAACCATCCCGTTATACTCCAGCCTCCCCGCGTCGTCGTGATCGCGTGAACGCCTCTGCCTGCCCGCATTGTAATGATCTCGTAACGATCGAGCCTCCCCGCATTGCAATGGAAGATTTGCTCCTAAGACGAGTCCTTGGAAAAAAACATAAAAACACGACGCGAGGAAGCTAGACCGGAAAGACGACTTCACGATGATCGTACTTGTGTTGTACACGTAGACGTCGTTCGTCTGCCGCTCGTCCTTGCCATAGCCTCCGAACACGTACACCTGACGACCATAGTTGACGGCATTTAGCGTATGACCCCATTTCCTCCCTGGTCCGTGCTTTCCACCTTTCCTCCCCGGCGATTTGCCTGGGATGGGCTCTTGACGCTTTACCTTTATCTCTATTTTCTCCCAGTGCATCTTTGCAACAACCTAGTTCCCAAAATATCAACTTTCCAAAAAAAAATGCTCTTAGCAGTAGATGTTAGGATCTACAGAAAGGCGGATAGTCGGAAATAATGGCACTAATGGCTGCACAGGTGGCACCAAGATATTGGCCAGCAACAATCAATATTGCGAGCTTGGTTGACGGAGTTATCAATTGTAATTCGAGCGGGATTGTGCCACTCTAGAGCCAGTTAGGAGAAACAAATGTTCGCTTGAGGCAGAAATGCTCTCAGCTAGATTAGAGAGATGAAGAGAAGGGGTGAAGATGGTGAAGATAATTCCAAGGAGCGGATATTGTAATGGTGCATTTTGATTGGTTCGTTTCGGTTTGAAACCCTAGGCTTTCCAGGTTTGGCGTTGATCGGAAAACGGAAAATGGAAAATGCGGATAGTTTCGACAGTGTTGTTCATTCGCATTCCACATGACGCTTGATCGATTCTGTTTCCGAAGAAGCTAGTAACGAGCCTTCGTCGGCGCCAAACTTTTCTCAAGGTTTGTTGGCAGGAACCGTAGTGTAACGGCTGCATACCGTCTCAAACCTCTCAAACAAGGTAGCCTATCACGACTGTTGGGTTGCTGTTTGTGCTGTTATCGCATCAGACATAACGAGCACAATTGTGTCATTGCGGCAGCTCAGACGCTTTCCAACCCCCCAGGCAGTTTACAAAGTACGTGCAGAAACTTCACTCAAAAGATTAGGTGGTAAAGGAATTTGACAGAAACCACACATGGCGCTCCTCTCCTGCTTCCACTCGCTGAGAACCGTTTCGCAGTTTTGTCGCGTTCGTCTTCTCCTTCCGCGGACCACGCGACTCGTTCCGCTTATTCTCCTCTCAGTTCTCGCTCTGTCGTCAATCTCGAGGGTCTCCTGTATTACATCAACCGCCGACGATGACCATTCATCCCGCGCCACTAAAGCTGCATCTCAAGATCCTGACCGTTCAAAATATTTCTCAGATTCACCAGGAGACGATGATGCTTCGCGCGTGTGCCGCGAGTTGGTGGAGCCGCACGGCTTCACGTGCGAGGATCACCGTGTGAGTGTAACGAACGCTCGTTGTACGAGGAATTTCTCTCAACCGTGTGAGAGTAACGAGAAGGACGGTCTTGCGAAGGTTATTTGTCATAAATTGCTGAGGTAATTCGTGCAGCAGGAACTTGGTTTCATTGATTGTTCTTGCAAGGTCTCTGAGAAAAATTCCCTCTAGAATTTGTTCCGGCTTCGCATATCAAGTTTCTCACCTGCCGGTCTGCCGTACAATATCCGTTCTCCTCGGATTCATACCTGAGAACTGTAGCTACTTGAAATCCGTGTACACATGGATAATGGCTTACAATATTATCATATCTAATGATTCCCCTTTGGAGTTTTGGACAGTCCTGATAATGATACGCTATCACTTCGTTGTGAGTGGCAGGTGGTAACACGTGATGGCTTCGTTTTAGGCCTTCAGCGTGTGACGAGTCGCCAGTTCGATGCAAGTGGAGCTGATTCTGATGTGAATAAAACGAGCGGGGGAAACGGGAGGGGCGTTTCTCGAGGGCCGGTGCTGCTACAGCATGGGCTGTTCCTGGTTCGTCCTGAAGAATCAGGAGTAGATGAATATTACCACACCTTGCCTTTGCACGTCCTTGCCTTTTCCACATGCCCTCACCTTGCCTTTGCACGTCCCCTTATCACCTCACCACAAATCTCCTCTCTCCATCACACACACATCATCCGCATCACGTTCACACTCACGGTGCGCTTCCCTCCCCCTCCTCTCCACCAAACCAGTGCATTTTCCATCAGTCTCTCATCCTAGCTGCGTAATTCCCATCCAACATATGTTGAGGCGCCTCAGAAGTTAGGTGTTTACCACATACCATCACTTCTTTCCCCACCCACCCCACTTGCCAGGGAGCCGAGAGCTGGGTTGTGGGCCCTCCCGGCATCTCCCTGCCGTTCCTGCTTGCCAGGCTCGGGTTCGAGGTGTGGCTCGGCAACAGCAGGTGCGGGCCGTGGAGCTACGGACACACAAGATGGCAGCCCAAGGATAAGGTGGGGATGAGAAGAGGGGGGAAGGGCGTGGGAGGGAGGGGCAGGGAGGAGAGGTTCAATGTTTGAGGCGCCGCAACGGCGGGCCTGCGAGTTGAGAGCCCTGCGAGTTGAGAGCTTCGTAATAGGCATGGTCTCAGCCCATGCCATGGCACTCCTTGCACGCCCCCCCTCATTCCATGCAGGAGTACTGGGAGTGGACGTGGGCAGACTTGGCACGCCATGACCTGCCAGTTCAGTTACCTGACCTGCCATCTCATGCCATCTCATGCCATTTTTTGTGCACGCGCACACATGCGCGCCCCCTTTCATTCTATGCGTGCAGGAGTACTGGGAGTGGACGTGGGCGGACATGGCACGCCACGACCTGCCAGCGCAGATAGACCACATCCTGGCAGCCTCTCACACGGGAGCGAGGCAGGTGTTCTACGTGGGCCACTCGCAGGTGCGTCCCTTGCCCCTTGCAGGTGCGTCCCTTGCTCCTTGCAGGTGCGTCCCTTCCCTTGCTCCTTGCAGGTGCGTCCCTTCCCTTGCTCCTTGCAGGTGCGTCCCTTGCTCCTTGCAGGTGCGTCCCTTGCTCCTTGCAGGTGCGTCCCTTGCTCCTTGCAGGTGCGTCCCTTGCTCCTTGCAGGTGCGTCCCTTGCTCCTTGCAGGTGCGTCCCTTCCCTTGCTCCTTGCAGGTGCGTCCCTTCCCTTGCTCCTTGCAGGTGCGTCCCTTGCTCCTTGCAGGTGCGTCCCTTGCTCCTTGCAGGTGCGTCCCTTGCTCCTTGCAGGTGCGTCCCTTGCTCCTTGCAGGTGCGCCGTGTGCCATTGGAAGGAGGTGACTTATGAGTTGACTCAAGAGTCGCATCGACTACATCCCCGCGGCCTCTCACACAGGAACGAGGGGGGTGTTCTACGTGGGGCACTCACAGGTGCGTGCATCTCCTTTCCAGTTCCACCCACCTTCCTCACGCTGCTGTGCCACCGTATGCCGTTGTGCTGCCGTGTGACTGGTCCTCTGTGCTGGTGTGCTTCTGTGCACCAGCACACCGCCACTTCATGGTTTTTGAGAATTCACAATAACCTGCTTCTGTGCACCCGCACATCGCCACTTCATGCCCACTTCATGCCCACTTCATGCCCACTTCATGCCCACTTCATTGCCATGTTTCTTGCCTCTCTCTTCTTCATTCTCCTCACCCCGTCAAGTTTTGACACGCCTCAAAACTTTCTGTGCCACCGTGTGCTGTTGTGTTGCTGTGTGACTGGTCCTCTGAGCTGGTGTGCTTCTGTGCTTGTCATGTTTCTCACCTCTCTCTTCTTCGTTCTCCTCACCATGTCACTTCCTGCCCGATCACCGTCCACTCCATTCTTCATTCCTCTTGCTTCTTTCCCGTTCTTCCCCTTCTTCCCCCTTCTTTCCCCACCGTTCCTTCTCTCTTCTCCTCTCAGGGCACGCTCACCTTCCTCTCCGCCCTCGCTGCGGGCTACCTCCCACCCGCCACCATCGCTGCTGCGTTCCTTTTCGCCCCTGTTACCTCCCTGGCACACCTCTCTTCACCCATCGCCCACGAGGCAGCCAAGCTTGATTTAGATCGGGTAAGCAGTTCAAACCTTCAGAACTATACTAAATGGATACCTCACTTTTGTGATTTAAACCTCTTGGATTCCCAGTATTCATTCTTCTCTCCCTCGGGCATACCCAGGTGTCACCCACGTTCAGTTCTCGTACTCTTGTACCCACATCTCAGCTCATACTTTCGTACCTCACAAAAAGGTCATCTGCATGCATCATGTCTCTTCCACCCTCTATGCCAACACTGGAGCGCTTCCACACTCTCTCCTCTCCCCGCTGCTCCTCATCTATCCTCTCCCCACTGCTCCTCATCTCTCCTCTCCCCGCTGCTCCTCATCTCTCCTCCCTCGTCAGCTCTCCCTTCTCCTCGCCCCTCTACGTCGCCCTTCTCTCGCCGTTCTCCTTCTCCCTCCCCCTCTCCGCCCCTCTCTCCTCCCCCTCTCTTCCATCTCCTCCAGCTGGTGAGAGCAACGCGCCTGCACGAGTTCAGCCTGCGCAAGTGAGTGCTGCGAGGGGAGTGCTGCGAGGGGAGTGCTGCGAGGGGAGTGCTGCGAGGGGAGTGCTGCAAGGGGAGTGCTGCAAGGGGAGTGCTGCATGCACCTCTCCACGTGGCACCTCTCCACGTGGCACCTCTCCACATGGCACTCCTCCATGTGCAACTCACTTAGCAGCGCGCGACCTCGCATGCCCCTCTTGTGCCTCCCCTTCTTGTGGGCAGTGCGATGGTTGAGCTGGTGGTTGCGCCTCACATGACTGGTTGTTGCTGTCACTGTGCCACTCTCCCATGACCTCTTATCATGGACCTCTCAATGTGCGCCACTCTACGTGCCTGTGACTGTGGGCAGTACCCTGGGCGAGCTGGTAGTTGCCAGTGCCTGCGCCTCTCCTCGTATCAACTGCTCCTCCCTGCTCTCCGCATTCACAGGCATGCACCCCACCACCTCACCACCACCCCATTAACTCACCACCTCGCCACCACCTCACCACCACCCCATTAACTCACCACCTCGCCACCCCACCACCTCACGTCCTGAGCAGCTGAGTACTGGTGTCATCATATCCACGCCTCTTGCTTTCGTTGCATGATTTTGTTCACATGGCAAAGTCGCTTTAGATTTCAGATTTGAAGAATATGAAGTTTCGAAATTGTCTCAGTTGCTCAAGATATTCGTCTTTGTTGCTTTGAAATCGTTGCTCTGTTCAAAGACCATACAGTCTTCCTTAAACAACTCTGCTGTTTCTTTTTCCAACAATACCAGTTTCAGCTCGTTGAGTGACCCTCCTCTTCAGTTTGTTGCACTGACCTTCTTCTCTCCATTGCACTGACCTTCCGTTTCTGTCCAATTGCACTCACCCTTCCACGCACAGGTCCCAACTGCTGCATTGACATCCGGCACTTTGCCAAGCTTGTTCCATGGTTCCCTCTCGCATCATTGGTAACCTCGTTCCAGTTACATTCTTCTTTCCAATGCACTCGCCTTCACTGCACAGGCCCCAACTGCTGCATTGACATTCGATACTTTGCCAAGCTTGTTCCCTGGTTCCCTCTTGCATCCTCTGTCAAGAACATGGCGCATTTCGGCCAGAGTAAGCACCGGCGCATGGCTTCTTTTTTTTTTCTTTCCTTTCACATGCACGCAGTGTACTTTCTTTAGATGCCTTTGTGTCAGAATCTTCTCAATTTCAAGTTACTGCTCCTTTACTCAAAGTGCCTTCCTGACAACCCCATGTTCCCATCAGAGTCTTTTCACTATCTGAACCCTGATCCTCTCTATACATCCTTCCTGCGGATTCGTTTTTCCTGATTCCATAATTTGCTGCTTGTTTTTCTTCTTCCTCATTACCCTGTGTCCAATCTCTCACCTGATTCTTTCCTTGCCAGTGGTTCGCTCGGGAGAGTGGAAGCAGTTTGACTACGGATTCATTAAGAACTGGCTGCGATACCACCAAAGCACACCGCCGTTCTTTCGTGCCTCTGATTTCCCCTCTACTACACGACTCGCTATAGCGTATGGTGGCAGAGACTCCCTAGCAGTGCCTGCTGACGTGGAATGGCTCATTTCCAAGCTGGCACGACGACCTGAGGTGCTCTACATTCCACATTATGCACACCTGGATTTCCTGTTCGCCACTTCTGTTGTTATGGATGTGTACTCTCAAATCGTGAGATTCTTTACAGAGTATCAGCTGGACAGAGCGTTTGAATAAAGATTGGGTTTCTTCATCCATATTGAAGGGCTTGTGGGTTGCGTGCGGAGCGTGCCTCCATTTGTAATGCACAGCAAGTATTGTAAATTAAGGGTTCAAACAAACTCATCACGCTCAACTTCAGGAGCTTGGGATGCAAAATTCATTCTTGATCTGAGAAAGGTCAACGCTAACTTGATTGTCCCCAAGTTCAAGTACGAGGGGCTCAGCCGTGTCGCCGACCTGGCGCGCGTTGGGGACTGGATGTTCTCCATTGACCTCAAATCCGGTTACCATCACATCGACATCCACCCATCGTGCTGGAAGTTCCTTGGCTTCGAATTCGATAGGCGCACATACGCATTTCGTTCACTACCATTCGGCCTCGCGACGGCTCCATTCGTCTTTACACAACTCATCAAGCAACTAGCTCGGCGTTGGCGAGAACAAGGCATCCGAGTCGTACCTTACCTGGATGACATCTTATTCCTCTGCCAGTCGAAAGCCGATGCGCAAGCAATCTGCCAGCAGGTGATATTGGACCTCAAAGAGGCAGGCCTTGTGATAAACGCGAAGAAATCACAACTGTCACCATCGCAACATCTCCGATTCCTGGGCGTAGAACTGGAGACCGACACCGGCCGATTCTCCATCGGTCCCGACCGACGAGCCTCACTACATGCAACCATCCGGAACCTCCTGAGCGCAAGCAGGGCATGCCGACCAGCCCCGGTCCGCCACGTGGCCAGAATCACTGGCATGCTTGCATCGATGGGTGTCGCACTTGGCGCGACCGCTCGCGCATTCAGCCACGCTATGTTACAAGTGATCAACGAAGCACCGTCATGGAAAAGCAGCGTGGTTATCCCCCCATCTGCAGCAGAGGAGCTCCAATTTTGGCTCGAGGAATTTGACCGTTTCAACGGCGCACCTTTTCACGTCAGGAACAGCTACGACGCAGTAATCCATGTGGATGCCAGCTCTCATGGATGGGGCGCCACTCTGACCACATTTCCGGGCGGACTCGAAGAAGCTAGCGCAACCATGTCAGAGCCGCTACAAGGAACGTCCAGCACGCGACGCGAGATCGAAGGCGTCCTTTGGGCGCTCCAAACATACGCGACCAACATCAAGCAAAAACACGTTCTCGTGCGGGTGGACAACCAGGGCGTGTTCTTCATCCTTCGAAAAGGCGGCTCTCACAGCCCCGAACATGCATGGAGCTTGGCACGCGCTTGATCATCGAATGGATTCCGCGCGAGCTCAATACACACGCCGACGAACTTTCAAAAATGGTCGACCACGACGATTACGCGCTGAAAACGCCGTGGTTCCGCATCTTGGAACGTCGTTGGGGGCCCCACTCCATCGACCTCTTCGCAAACTCCCGCAACACCCAACTGCCGCGCTTCTGCACAAAGATTCCCCACCCAGAAGCTATCGCAATTGATGCGTTCTCGATCGCGTGGACACCCGAAAACAACTTCGCCTTCCCCCCGCCCCAACTGGTCCCAGCCGTCCTCCATCACGCACAACGCACCCATGCATCACTCACACTGATAGTTCCGCACTGGCCAGGCGCAAGCTGGTGGCCACTTTTGCAACCCTCCCCATGCACTTGGGCTCCACACATCCACGCGCACATCCCTCTGACACACGGAAGCCAATGCCTAGACGCAGGGTCCCATTCCAATGCTTTCTCAGGCATGGGACTACCGCACAGCCCAATTATTGCACTGAGAATGGCATTTGACTAATTCAAAACATCAACGCCCTGTGTTCAGATTTGCTCCCAAAGTTACACGACCAAATGATCAACATGCTCGCGCAATCTCGCGCCGATTCTACGATACGGACATACGAACCATACTGGGCCAAGTTTCGAGCCTTCTGCACAAAAGTGAACCTCCCATTTCTTCCGGCATCCGACATGACCCTCGCGCTCTACCTGGTACACGCAATCCGACGCAAAGCCACCCTGTCCGTAGTGCAGCTGACGTGCTTGGCGGTCAGCTTCGCTCATCGCATGACCGGGAGCAAATGCCCGACAACCGGACCGTTCACCACCCAAGTCCGTGACTGTGCAAAAAGACACTGCCCTCGCCCTACTCGTATGAAGGAACCCGTATCGATCCAACAAGTCCGGGACATGGCCGCGAGTTACTTGCAGTCCGACGATCCAGCGACGTTTCAGAAAGGGTTGATCCCCATCCTCATGTACTCAGGATTCCTGCGATATTCGGACCTGGCAGCCATAAAATGGCAAGACATCCAATTCGACGACAAGGTCATGTGGATTCTCATACCACACTCCAAGACCGATCAGGCTGGTCATGGCACTTGGATTCCCATTGCAGCAACGACAGACCCTTGTTGCCCAGTGTGCTGCACCCGACGCTTCATCCAACTGGCCGGCTATGGCCCACAGTCAGAGGGACCATTGATTCGGGTCTTCGGCCACGCTTCAACCAGCGAGGGCCAAGCAAGGCCACCCTCATACACCACGATCCGGAACTGGTGCAAGGAAGCCTTCGCAAAAGTGGGCCTTGGAGACCTGCAGCTCGGCACACATTCTTTCCGAAAAGGTGCAGCCACAGTAGCAGCCAACACGGGCGTGCCAGACAGGGTCTTCAAACGGCTGGGCAGATGGCGAAGCGACTCAGCAAAGGAAATGTATGTTACACCATACGTCGAGCCTCTTATCGAAGCCTCCCGTAACCTACAAGACCTGACGCATGCAGCGTCGTCGGCACAACACTCAGAGGCACTCGTACGCAACCGGAGGCCCCCGCTGCCCATGTCTCAGAGACCCCATTTGTAATGAGAACGATGCCAATTGATAAGAATAAGAAAGCAAGCTTTCTCAATATTATAGGGTTCAAACAAACTCATCACGCTTAACTTTAGGAGCTTGGGATGCAAAATTCAAACAGAACATGGGTGGTTGGGTATGGTGCCAATAACGTACGCAGGTACAAATAACTCCAGATGTTAGCAAAGATGGCATCTGATGAGCGTGTTGGGCATGGGCACAAGTGGAAATCTGCATGAATGAGTAACACAACAGATGCTCATATGTACAGGAACTAAATAACGGTACTAGCATCATCGGCTGAAGAATCCGTCATGACATGCTGCAAGCAACATGAGCAGGTGAGTTTGGTTGCAGACATACTCAACTGCAACCAGCAAGCACCATGCGCTGATGGATTCGGCATGGGTTACTGCACTCACCAGGAGCAACTGAAAATGCCACGAGATCACCGTGAAGTGAAGAACTCGGAATGAAATGCTGATGGGATCATCAGCTGAAGAGACTGCCGTGAGATGTTGAAGAGGAGGCAGTAATGAATGCACCATCAGCTGGTGAAGGTGCCATGAAATGCTGATCTGATAGCATCATGAGCAGTTGAACCTGGAATAGGTACTGGAACCATCAGGCGTTGATTGAACTGGCATGAGCTGCTGCTGCAAGTTAACATCAGAAGCTGGTCACATTAGAACAACATACGGATAGGTTTGTGACTTGATGAAATTGGCAAGGGCTGGAAAGCATGATGAGCAGATGAATTTGGCACGAGATACTGAATGAAATCATATTGTTCTTAAGAAACATATGTAAGCAAGACGTGCCTCCTGAAAGCGAGGAATGAGAGCATATGTAATGAAAACAATATTATCAGGCTCCACGACATATGCTTTCAGGTATCCCTCTACATGATTTCCAAGCATCAGATTTGAAAGAGCAATCAGGGATGAGAGCAGAGCATTATGGATGCATACGAGAGAGGGTGTGGGGAGGACGAAAAAATGATTTGTTACGAAAACGCGGAGACAAGGCAATCTCGTATTACCTAAGTTATTTTGAATGAGGGCAGGCCGTGAGGGGAGACTGAAAAAAATCCCCTGCAGACTAGAATGGCAGGGCAACATTAACTTGAGCAAGAAGTGCGTTTCCAAACAGAAATGAAAATTCTTGAAGCTGGAGATAATGAAACAAAGAGCATCAGCTGATGAGGATCATTATACAAACAAACCTGATGATGATTTTCCACCACACACACCTGCTCACCACTTCTCCTTGCTTCACCCCTCCTCTGCTGACCAAGTAAGCATGCGCATTCCACTGGAATCACACGGTCACTGCAAGAAGCATCAAGTTGCTTCTCCCTGCCTCACCCATCCATACAATTACACCCACCAACCATTCCTCCATGCACCACTAAGTCGCAACACACAAGCACAGAATGCACATCAACAGCATACATATAATTAAAGCATCACAAGCTACAGACCTAGAACATAGGGTTTAGACCTAAATAATAAATATCTATAACATATTTCTGCTATTCATTAGCCAAGCAGGTGCACGGTGCAGCAACAGATTGCAGCCAGCATGAGCATTCCCTGTCAGAGGTCCACTGGTGATCCCCGAATGATCCTAGGGAAGGGTTACAGGCACGTTGGCTTGGGGGGTTATGGGCGCACTGACCCGCTACTTAACAAGCCCTTTTATCCCAATGGTCTAGTGGTCAGGATTCTGACATGGTATCAGAGCGAAGGTCTCCGGTTCGAATCCCGGTGTATGCACTTCGGGCATCCCAGTGCGGGGGGGTGTCAGAGGTCCACTGGTGATCCCCGAATGATCCTAGGGAAGGGTTACAGGCACGTTGGCTTGGGGGGTTATGGGCGCACTGACCCGCTACTTAACAAGCCCTTTTATCCCAATGGTCTAGTGGTTGGGATTCTGACATTCCCCTCAATCACACAGTCAGCAGAAGCATTCAGATCCAAGGGCATGCTCTTCCCCCTCATGCCATGCCTCCCCATTCCAGCTCACCACATTCCCCCACCTCTCCTCCCATCTCTCCCACAACACCCTGCAAGCAGGGTGGAAAAAGGGGTAAAGTCCCTCCATGCACCTTCCTCTAGTCCCCACCAGCCATGCCATCTCGCCCACCACACTCGTACCTTCACATCCCCATTGGACACGCCCTGGATCCGATCTGCTGCTGCTGCTGCTGATTTTTATTTTTTTTTTTCTGTTCTTTTTTTCCCTTTTTTTTTTCTTCTTTCCACCCCTTCACTTGGCCGCTACCTTCCCCGGCTTGGGAATGCCACTTGCCGTTGCTCCTGCTGCGACCCTCCTTGGTGCCGCACTGCTTGCAGGTCTCGGTATTCCAAACCCGCCAACAACACCCGCCTTGGGCTGAGGGGAGCTGCTGCTGCTACTGCTGGGCTGCTTGCACCTACAGCCTTCACGTCAACCACGGCAGCATTGATTGCACGTGTCGCCTTAGCTGGTGTCGCTGGGGTCGCCTTAGCAGGCGCCGCCTTGGTTGGCGTTGCCTTGGCTGGCGTCACCTTAGCTGGCGTTGCCTTAGCTTCCGTCGCCTTAGCTTGCGTCGCCTTGGCTGGCGTCGCCTTGGCTTGCGTCGCCTTTACTGGCGTCGCCTTGACTGGCGTGGCTTTGGCTGCTGCAGCTGCGACGGTCGCTTGACCGCTGTGCACCGCTCTGGGCTTCACAGCAGCAGCGGTACCCATCACATCCCTGGGCCTGGGCTTCTTGCTGGGCGGCTTAGCCACGGGCTTGGGTCGCAGAGGGGAGAAGCCGAGCGACGCACGGGGGGAGCGTATAGTGCACTGCTCTACCTTGTTTAAGCGTCCCACGCGCACTGCAATCGCGTGCCGCCACATCTTCAAGATGTTAGCTGTGCGGGGGATTCGAGTTGCCATAGCGGTAGGGCACAGGACAAACGAGAGGCGAAGATAAAACCTGAAGCTGATCGAAGGAGCTAGAATCAAAGTTGAAGAAATATTAGGATTGCAACTGATGTGGTGGTGGAAATGGCGAGGACAGGTGGGCTTTGTATTGTTGGGAAGGGAGGTTCTAAGGCGAAAGAAGAGTGGATGAAGCTCGACTGGCGAAGAGCAATTCTCGAGGCTCTGGAGGAGGCGAGCCCGCTGGCCGAACCGATACGAGCAAACACCCCGAAACATATGGTGGGGGGGATGATCTGCTTTGGTTTAGTTGGAGCCGAACCTCTGGAGGCTTGGGAGCGGAACTTCGATGTCGTAGGATAGCAGCAGCGACTCTTTCGCTTCGGACGACGAGAATTCGGGGCAGCGAAAAACATATCGAGTCGCATTTTCGCTAAGCTTTCCCGCTGCCCGAGCATGAGGAAGTGGTTAGTCCGCGAAAAGAAGGAATCTGGTGGTGTGTTGACTGGATGATGGGTAAATTTTATGGACTTGCCGTCGTGAGATGAGACCAAGGCTGCTCAAAGAATGGTTCCGTTCCGTCATCGTCAATAGAGTGCAATTGTCGCCGCATAGCGGCGGAGGGCAAACGCGACTGAGACGGAGCCTGCGTCGCAAGGTGACTGAAGGAAACGCGCCTCGCGGGCTTGATTGTATTACTCCCGAGGAACTAGGGTTCTCTCTGGCATCCCAAACCAAGCCATCGAGAATGGGGCGAAACGTAAGTGGAGAGTAAAACTAGTGATGCGATATTCGCAGATTTATTGACCGTGATGCAAGTGTAAGTTTTAAAAGCACTCGGAACCATGTAACTGTTTAAATTGACTCTAGTATTCTTAACAAGTCTGATGTTGTAAGGATTTACAGAATCCTTACTGAGGCACTCGTTAGCGAGGCCATCCCGAAGGTCACGCGACGAACCTGTCCTTCCTATTTCGTCGCACCGAACCACTCCCGAGTCGCCTCCGCTCCAATCGCAACCATCACCGAGCCATCCTCGCCCAACCTCTCCGCCTAGCTAGGACTTCCCCCATTTAGTCGTACCTTTCTCATTGTATCGTGATTCAGTAATTCAGTAATTCAGTAATCAGTCATTCTCGTTATTCGTTTTACTGCGCACTCTGCAAGTTCATTCATAACACCTGGTATCAGAGCTTCTTTCCTAGCCTACCCCGCTTTTTAGAGTGGAATACCCCTCGGGGGGGGGGGACGAGGAAGGATGTCTTGGGGTCCAGGAGTTGCGTAGGCCGGCCAGGAGAACGAGTTAGTTGCTCCTCGCGGCCATGGTTTTACGGGTACTTCTTCGGCACCGCCAGATCCCTTCCTCGAACGGTCGCGATCGACCGTGGCCTCCCTCCCCCTGGGCAACGGGCAGCAGTAGATGTCGCGACGTTTATGTGAGTAATTTTCGCTGCGATTTCCGACGATTTCGGAGGTTTATTCGTGTGGTAGCTGGCGTCAGCGGACCTGCGTTGGCATCTGCATGAGCGGCCTCGAAGTCGTCACATGAGTGGCAGTTGACGCCGTCGGACCTGGGTCAACAGATGCGCGACAATTTCGGAGTTCGTCTGAAGCAGCAACTTGCGATGGTGGCTCGTCGTCATTTTGCGCGCATGACTCGCGGAATGTGTTTCGGCAGCGAGCGACAAGGGACGAGCGTCACTGTGGCGACAATTTCGGAGCAGCTGTGGAGAAAAAGTCGGCTGGGGAACTCGCCAGGCGCAAATGGAGTTTTGTGTCCGAAAATATCGGTGGACGAGGAGAGACGACACGCGAATCGCCCGAATTCTGCAGGGTCAACTGCCGTCCCGCCCGACCTGAAGTGCAGCGGCTTTTACTGCATGGCGGGCGCGTCATCGAAGATTTCGGCAGGAGCGCACGTGGACAGACGGGAACTTCAGACCCGCCGACACTTACGGGTTGCAACAGAAAACGGAGTGGCTAAATCGCACTCAGGAGGAGTGGGACTCAGGCGGCGAGGGCAATTCGGGCCCATACACCCCGAAGAACACTCTGATGACGCTGTGTGCCTGGTACTGTTGACAGCTGGCCGACAATTTCGAGAGTGGATTCCCTGTAAGGAAGTCATTTTCGGGGACAGCCTCAACAGCCCACGATTAAACGGCGTTCAACGTACTGGCCCGACATTTACGGAGGAGTCGGTACAGGCCGCCGGGACACACGGGAAGAAACTGCCCGACGGCTAAGCGGGGGTTAAAGAACGGCGTGAAGGGCAGGTTAAAAGCCGGTGTGAACGATCTGTGACCTTCCGTCGCCCGAACCTCACCATCCCCACCAAGTTTCTAGTTCTGACTCATGCAGTCAACTTGCTTGGCCGAATACGGGGGTGAACACGGGCCTACCCTGTGCTGGTTAAAGGTACCTGAATTGGTGCTCGTTCGACAGCTGTACAGAAAAAACAAAAAAAAGGTGGATTTGCGGCACTGTTCTACTCCGACAAAAGCAGACTGGGTGAAACAGCACGCGAAAAAATCGGGGTGCCGCATGACAACAATGGTGCAGTTCGCTGGTTTCTCCTGACCCGGGCGTCTACACGATGTGACGACGCAGCGGCAAAGTGGGGACCGGGATGCTGTGGAGTTTAGTGGCGTGATGGTCACGGTGGGCTGCAAAACGGTTGGGCGACTGTTCCTTTTAATTAAGGGTCCCCGACTCCGATAGTTTTAGCCCCTCCACCGTGGCTGGGTTCGCGCGGGCAACACCGACTATACCCCATATGAAAAATGCGGACGCTGGGTGAACGGTGAGAGCGGAATTGTCGGGGGGTGAAACGACCAAAAAATTATGAAGCTGCGGGTATTTCTTCGCTTCTTGGAGTGCGGTTGAGTCGTTGGGGGACTTCGCCTGAAGGGCACTTTTCGAAGTTGCCTGGTAAGAAACACAACAGCAAGGATACCTAGGACCCCCGGTGTTTAAACGCACACCTCGGGAATTTCTTCAAAAAAAGGGGAGCGTGGGAGCAGTCGTAGCTTCGGGATCTATCGACCGGCGACGAGCGATGTGGTGAAACATCTGCAAAGCGCTGGTGGGAGAAGCCGGAATTTTTGTTAAGCGACATCGACGGGAGCAGTTTTTTACTACGAAGTCAACGGCGTTGATGCCACTAGGTTCCGTGAAATTCGGTCTCGGAATAACCCAGGGCAGTCCCCGGTTCTCGATTGAACCCACATGCTGGGAACGGGTAGCCGACGGAAACTGATGGTGACCGAGTGGGCGGCTATAGCACGTCCGAGATTTTCGGAGGCGAACTGCAACTGCAACTGCGGATTCACGGGGTCTGATTCGAGCGGCAATTTCGGAGTGTTTACGTGGAGACTTACAGGTTTTAAGGCAAGGAGCGCCGACAACTTCGGAGGAGCATTCGGCGTTTGGTTAAACGCGCGCGAAAAGGACGTTGGGAAATAACGCGTGAGCTACACGGAGTTTTCAGGGGTACGAATGACTTACGACGAACTGAAGAAGGCGGCATCAACAGTGAAGGGGTGGGAGAGACAGCTGCATTTTTGCATCCCTGCCCAGGAGCCCTCGGCGCACTACGACAAATGGCTCGGCGAGTCTGGACAAAACCGCTGGAGGTGCTGACATCATCTGACCCTAGATCGTGCTCGACATCAATCTCGGAGTGACATTCGATTTCGGTTACTGCTTCAACGAATTTCGCCGACGCTCGTATTTGACTTTACGACGGATCGCCTTCACCGACGACATTTTCGTACCAACCCCGACTTCTCAGGCCAGAGGATTCCGGGATACAGCCACACCAACTCTACTAGCGACAAATCCATCCACTCGACCCGCCCACGACAACTGCATTGATTTCAAACACGTCAGGTGCTGCCAGCTGCATCTGCTGAAGATACTGCATGATTCTGGCGAATGAAGACAAAATCAGGTTCAGTTCGAGCAACGCATAATTTCTGCCGCGGTTTCTGGTCTACTTACGCGGGTTCGCCCTTGAAGACTTTTTGGGGCACGTACTACCCGGTTCCGCAATCGACTTTCCACACCGACGAGTCTTCACCTGGCTTTCTACGCTCGACATTCGCTTCAGTGGGACTTAACACCTAGATTTTTGTTGGTTTTCATCTCGGCGCAGCTGTGAAACATTTTCTGGTGTGCTTTCTTGGAGGGGGGGAGAAAGTGCTTTGCACTATTTCTTTCCTCGGCGTTTTCTCGGCTCAATTTCTGACTTAGTCAAAATGCAGCAGCACGACGGACGACTGCGATCGCTGCTTCACGATCAACGGTTTCTACAACATCGCGATTGAATTTTGCGTCAGCAGGTTCCCTCCAATCTCGCGTCAGTCTTCGACCGTCAGATTCACATCTGCTTCATCGACGGCCCACATTCCAACTTCAAATTCATTTTAGGCTAGCTCATCTTCGACCGTCCGATTGAAATCTGACTACATCAACGGCCTACCTTCCAACCTTTTCAAAAATATTATCGAAGGCATTTCGGCCGTCGGATTCAGCTGAAGGGGAGATCTACAACATCCTTGCTAGTGTGGGGTCCGTTTTCAGTACATGACTGCCTTATTTAGAAGGTGGGAGAGTGTAAGGATTTACAGAATCCTTACTGAGGCACTCGTTAGCGAGGCCATCCCGAGGGTCACGCGACGAACCTGTCCTTCCTATTTCGTCGCACCGAACCACTCCCGAGTCGCCTCCGCTCCAATCGCAACCTTCACCGAGCCATCCTCGCCCAACCTCTCCGCCTAACTAGGAATTCCCCTATTTAGTCGTACCTTTCTCATTGTATCGTGATTCAGTAATTCAGTAATTCAGTAATCAGTCATTCTCGTTATTTGTTTTACTGCGCACTCTGCAAGTTCATTCATAACAGATATTTTCATCTTATCCCTACAATATACAAATAAACTTAAGACATGGGAACAGCAAACAATATCTCAATC